TCCTATAGTAAATATTAAGAAGCAGTGATGATGTTTTACCTCTCCATTTAGTTTTGTCTTTTTAATTGTGTTCACAGGTAGACCTCTCTTGCGTGTCGTTTGTATTTATTTATGGTTTTTGACTCCAACACTGAGGAAGTTTATGAATTACAATGGAAGAAGTTTTAAAATAATTCCACATTACACATGTGGATGTTGGATTGTATAAGGGGAGTAATTAGAGTTTTAAAATAGCTATGTAAAAAAGAAAATACACCTGTAAGCTGAATGATATAGAACACTAAATATTCTCTAAGTTTCGTGTCTAGAAATACTCTTCGTAGATCAAGCATTCGCAACCCAACAGTACTGGGCGGATAAGATGTAGAACCTGGTTTGTTGATCTGTATAGTTGATAAGTGTGCCTAGGGTTTTTGCAATGAAATATCTGTTTGAACTAGTAAGGCACTTCAGTGGTTGCGAGGTGTTGCACTTGGGAAGGGAAGTGTTTCTGCATTATGCATGGCATGCCATCGTGTCACACAGACTGTTTGAAATGGCTGCCTCTGAGCTGAATCTGTGAATGTGAAGAGTTGCCCTCATGTTTCAGACTTTAATAAAGCAAGCAGACCCCCCCCAGCGAGGAGAGCCGCTTGCCTCACTGGATATTGGTCATGAGCAAAGGTCATAGTTCTCACTGTATATTTATCATGTAAAATACAAAAAAGGAAAAAAAAAGATTAAAAAAAAAGTCTTGATCAAGAAAAGTTGAGCACTGTTGACCGGTGCTTTGTGTATATACTGAATAGACTGTTCGTCTGGGTGGATAGTTAAGAGGTGGATAGTTAAGAGGTTTGAAATATGAAAGCAATTCAGTCAGACCTGAATTTACTGACATTCTACTGAATATTTTCTGTGTTGTCCTCACAGATCATTTTCTTTTGTTTACGTATTTAAAAGATGTAAGAAGAAAATTGGTGAACGTTTTCTTTTTTCAAATAAAGTGCAGCTTCCACAAAACAGGTGCTCTCTCCTTTCTTTAAAGTTTAGGATTCTGGGGACTCCTCAGATTTAACTGGCCAAAAAATAGTACCCTGTGGGGAGGAATAACTCACTGATGTGAAACAACAATTTCTATTCAGAACCACCAGGATCTCAGGGGCGTTTTGTGATTATTGTGGACTAAATGCCTTATGTTGCAGTGGCTTTTCTAAAACGAAAGGATTTGAAAAAGTTAGGTTGAATGTGAGTTCGATTTGAAGGCAGCCAAGTTCTTGTGAGAACAAGAGGGAAACAAATGAGAAAGTGCAGATCACAAAAACATTGATAGACTCAAGTTCAATACTGTGAATTAAAGTTTTAATATTTTATAACTAAATGATACAATGACTGCAAGTACTGTGAGCACAATAAGCCCTTAACTAAATCTTTCCTGGCTCTAAAAACCTAATGTGGGTACATTAATATAGTGCCAGCTGATTTCTGCCAACTACAAACATGACACTTGAATGGAAAAATCTACAGCCGCATAACAAAGACCTGAAACCTCCCTGTCAGTATGACTGGTTTAATATGCAATTGGAAAGTTCAGGGAGCCATGAACTGATTGTACCCGGAGAGGTGTGCCATGCAATGATTCTCAGACTAATAATAAGGAAGGTGAGACAAAAGTCAGCAGTTGCTTGAAAAGAGTTTCAAAACAACCTGAAAGCAGCAGGAACAGCAGTTACACAGAGAACAAAAAGCACAATTACGTGAATGATCCTACACCATACACACCATATTCCCAGTGAAGTATGGAGGTGGGAGCATCATGATATGGGGCTGCTTCTCTGCAAACAGTACTGTGGCATGACATGACTTTGAAGGAATCATGAATGTACTGGGACAAGGTGAATTTAATCTCATCTGCCAAGAAGGTGGAGAAGATGTTTGTTTCAACAAGATAATGAACCCAAAAATACAGCCAAAATAACTCAAGACTGCTTTCTAAAAAAGATGTTTGCATGGACTAGCCAATCTCCTGATATGAATCCCACTGAAAATGTATGGGGGATTTTGAAATTGCTAAACCAACAGGGGGGCCCTTGGGGAATTGAAGATGGTTTGCAAAGAGGAATGGGCCATAACTGATCCATGCTGCTGCAAAAAGCTATTTACTACTTACTGCATATGTTATGTAGAGGTAATTAGATATAATACTTGTATTAGGAACGACAGAGTCAAGAAAAATAAGTGAAAAGTCAGACCAGAGTTATTAATTATTAAAACATACAGAGAAAATGGGATACCCAACAACCGTACAAAACCTGGTAGACCACCAAAACTGTCAATAGGATCCTGTTCTCCTATCTTTGAGAGAGAGGAGAAAATCAAGCTTCAATGGACAATGGACTGACTGCCCCCGAGTCCAGACCTCAACATCACTGAATGTGTTTGAGATTATTTGGTTGTAAGAAAAAATGCAACCAACTTCTAAGACTTTCTATCTCTGCTGATTTCTCTAAACAACTGAAAGCAAGTCTCACAAAAAATGGCAGCTGTAAAAAAGGCAAAATTGTGGACGCCCTAAACAGTGAAAGATTTGGCATTATTTTAGCTGTTGTATTTTGGCTTCTGTTTAATTAAATGTTTTCAGTTTTCTTCCTGATGCTAAAAAAAATAACTTGTCTGGAAATTGACTTGAGTGAAATAAATGACGGGTGGACTGTAAGTACTAAATCATTTTGCCTTACATCACCAACTCTGCCGTGAATGGATAAGTCTCAAAAATCGATATGTCTCAAAACTACCAGACAACAATATCTCTGGCATTAAGCAGCATATTCATAACATTTCATGCGGTAAGTTTCTGTGAGGCAGCTTTTAGAAGCATTAAACCTCCTGGATGTCTGGTTCCTATCACTACCATTGTGAACAATGCTGAAGGAGTAAGTTTGTCTAGAACAGAGCATTTCATACCAAACCACTCTGAATGACTTTGTTTACATTTTAACTACAAAATTATGCAGACTGTGAACAATTGGTGGAATTCCCCTTTAAGTACTGAGAAACTTATAGAACTGCACTAGAACTTCATAGTACATCCAGCATCTGTCAGCATAGGAACTTGTTCACTGGCACTGTTCTTCTCTTCTCAATGGTCTAAAATAAAATGACTACACTCAAAAGGTGGGAGGTGTGACCAATCACAAATAGACCAGATGCTGTCACCAACTTCATGTAATGAAACCAAATATACTGAATAAGTAAAAATGGAAGTAATTGGCAGTGAGTATATAGCAAACTGAGTACAAAGTTTTCCTTTTCTTATAAATATACCTAAGTAGAATTAAAAATACAAATTCATCAAAATTTTGCTTAAGTACATATAACTGGGTGAATGTACACACTTAAAAAAGCCTTTCTTCAAAGGTTCTATATAGAACCAAAAAGGGTTCTTCTATTGTTACAAATTGATACATTAACAATAGCAGAACGCTTTCTGGTGCTATATAAAACCATTTCCAAAAATTTTCTATATAGAACCATCTACAGTACATTCTCCATCAATCTGAAGAATGCTTTCATAATGCAAAGAACCCTTTAATCGTGCAAAGATATTAGACAGAAAGTGCACTCTGAAAAAGATGGTTCCTTAAAGGTTCTTTAGTAAAGATGGTTCTATACAGAATCATGAACACTCAAAGAACCCTTTAATCGTGCAAAGATATTAGACAGAAAGTGCACTCTGAAAAAGATGGTTCCTTAAAGGTTCTTTAGTAAAGATGGTTCTATACAGAATCATGAACACTCAAAGAACCCTTTAATCGTGCAAAGGGTTCTTTGAGTGTTCATGATTCTGTATAGAACCATCTTTACTAAAGAACCTTTAAGGAACCATCTTTTAAAGAGTACTAGGTACTCCCACCTCTGTTTAGGGTTGAGCAACGGCAGACTCATGCTGTTTGAAGGATGGGGCAAAAAAATAAAAAGGGCACCCACTGCACGACACGGGGCACCACCAGCGCAAAAACAGCTATGGTGCATCATGTATGATGAAATAGTCTTCATCCTAAATTAAGGTTAACATTATTTTATTGGGCAACCCACATTACAAAGTAAACTATAAACCTTTATTTTTTATTTCACAAACATCTAGCTAATCTAATGTCTAACATATAGATATTAGCCTAACTTATCAGCCCCTTGCAAAAAACACAGAAAAGCTTTGTTAGCAGCCAAACAATGTGTTTTGAATGTAAGCAAGGTTTGAGAACCATTTTCTCCACTAGAAGGCCACTCATTAAGACAAGTTATTGAATTTTCTTGCTCTAGAGGGCACATCACCATATTTTATTGTATGAAGGGGCATCCTAGAGGGTACTAAATAATGTCTTCCCATGTGAAGGACAGCCAATAGTGCACTTTCTGTCCTTTTGCCACTTTAGAGGGCACTTTTTCAACCATGAGGGCACCAAGAAGGGCCACATTGATGCATCAGTCTACTCGGGCTTTAGCAGAGCTCAGTAACACTGAGATTAATAACTGATCACCACACTAATTTATTCGTCTACTCGTTAACCCTAAAGTCCCTTTTAGAGTTTGTCAAACAAGCATGTTTGCTACATGCTGTGTCCAGTGCTGTGATTATAAAATAGATTATAAACAAACACTTCTGGATTTTTTTAAATATTGTATGTTTTTATTTAGTGGGTAACTATTCTAAAAGTATTCTCCTAAAAATGTAAAAAGTAACTGAATTCTACATACTGCCTTTACAAAGTGAGGACTAACTTGGACTGAAAACATTTAATTTCTGTGTACTGAATAAATATTCCATATACTCGTGTCCCGTATCTCATCCCGTCCCTTGCCTCTGTATAAGACCACTGAGAAAAAATTTCTTAACTTGAGTGGCATTTGCGGTTGTTGTGTCCATCCCGTTCCTGTTCTGTCTGACTGTGAGGACACATAATGGACCAAATTTCCCAGCTATATAAAATTAGCCCAGAACAGCTTGAAAACAGTTACACCGTGTGCTTTCCAGTCTGTCCTGCTTCACCGACCTCACTCACTCCCACTTTACAAACACAAAGACGGACTTGAAGTGTAGAAGGTGAGTGAGCGCTCAGGCTGAACACAGCTACACACGCCAAACCCCACACAGTCCAGAGCAGCGGGCAGGGCTACAAACACCTGACTGCTGTTTGAAGGAGTCAGTCTGTCTCAGCGCTCTCTCTGAAAGCAGGTAAGAGCTGCTTGATTTTCTCTCCTCTCTTGTGACGAACTTGTCTGTGTTTTAATGAACGTTTGAACTGACTGGCTAAGTGCTCAGATTTAGCGAGTCATGTCTGTGGCTCCGCTGAAGCGTCATTATTCTCGGTTACAGCGCACACGTGATTACTAGGTATACGTTAGCCTTCATTTTTACCCATTTCTTACCTCACAGATATATAACTAACTGATCATTCTGAAAGATTAATGTGCACGTTGACCTGGTCTGTGAGTGGGTTCAGTAACGTTAGTTAGTAAGTTTCTCTCTTCTCCATTTTCATCTCATTGCTGATAAACCAGCATAACAAACTTGGGCGACTTTAGTTGAATCTCCCTCAGAAAACAAACCACAACAGGTCTCAGAGAGCTGTATTGTCTTTACACCCCAGAAATAAACGTCTTTATCCTGTTACTGAAACCTAATTACACGCCAGTAGACAGTATAGGGAGACTCGGCTCTCAGAAGGGCTCCTTGTGACTGGCTGCTTCTCTTGAACCAAGAATGAGCTGATTTAATGATTACCTTCATGCTATTGAGCGCCCATGTCTTAGCAGCCTTGCGTTACAGTGAAATACAGCCTTTATGTAACGCTTGCGACACATGCGATAATTTGAGACTTACTTAATTGAAAAAATACAAATAAATAATAATAATAATTATTATTAATTATTAATAATAATTAGTCATGAAGGTCTACATTCACTCAGTCTAAAAGCGAGAACACAATTGGAGGAGTGAGATCACATTATTTATGTAAACTATCTGTCTAACTATCCATCTATCTGTCCGTCTATATGTCTGTCTATCTAGCCATCTATCTGTCTGTCTGTCTGCATGTCTATGTGTCTGTCTATCTGTGTATCTGTCTGTCTGTCTGTCTATGTCATATGCAAAATTTTGGCGCCCTGGTCAAATTACATTTTATTGAATTTCTTGGTGAAAATAAGTTAACATCCTCTACAGAGAACACACTTCTGCACATTTTAATGCACAATTACTGTTTATTTGATGATTGACTGAATTGGAAACAATAAACAAAACATAAAAAGTGACCTGTGACAGTTATGGTACATTTTGAAATGTATGTATTTTATTCCAGTATGTTAAACTCAGCAAACAAGATAAGTAAACAAGCACTTTAATTAGGAGAAAATGCCAAATTCAAGTTTGTTATGTGTAAGGGATGTCTTTTTCACTTCAGGAATAACAAAACGTCATTTGGGGTATACAAACTTATGCATACGACTATGTTTGTCTGTCTGTCTGTCTGTCTGTCTGTCTATTTAATAAAACCAGCCTTTCTAGTGGGTAGCACAGTATATGGTGAATATATGGGGAATGTGGTGATATCTATCATTATTGTAATAAATGTTTTTCTGAGCATAGCGTAAATATCTTCAGTACTTAAAAAACACTGACCAACTGCTTGTTTCATTACAAAGAGAGCATAACTGGCTATATTTGTTTGGACTTACTGTGTGTGAAACAAAAATCATATTCATAGTTTTTGATCATTTTTAAATGTGGCACTGTTGGTACATTGTATTTTGCCATATCACCCACCCCTATTACTAGTCCTACAATACATTGTCCCTAGTCTTACAATTCCCATATCCAGATTAGGCCTAAGCCTTGACTAAATTAGTTTTTAATGGTAAAATACCATTGACTGCAGTTTAGTCGTCAAAGACTAGTCTTAATCCATGTCCATAACACTGGCCCTTATACTGTATATGTATAGTATATTGTGTAGATATTGCACAATAACTGTCAGCCAGTTTACCCCTAATGTGTACAGAGTCATTAGGCTCAGATGTCTTATTAAGGAGTTATTATGACTTGGATTCCACGCTAACAGGTCTGCTGTGTGTTGTATCGACAGTTTGCAAGGTTTTGAAATACTGTTCTGTAAAATGTTTTGTTCACTTTAGTTCACTCTTCTGTCTTCCGTCGCAGTTGTGTTTGGTTTTGATCATGCTGTAAAACTAAGTAAATAACGTCTTAGACATCTTTGCTCAAATATTTGCTCAGCTAACATAGACACGTTGTAGTTATGAATGTTAGATTTAATCATGTGAGGGTCATTTGAAGCAGATGTAGTTCTCAAGTTTCTTTCCTGCTCTTAAAGAACATAATATAAACGTGTCACCAAAAGGAATTTGGCGACACGTTTATATTATGTTTTAAGTTGTCCCTAATATTAATGTGCTAATAAGTAGTAGTTTGTTTGACAGTATTGTACTACTCTATAGTGATTCTGAATATGTATCAGGCCAAACGGTGCAGTGGAAAACTACTGGACACAGAAGGGTGGGTATACAAAGTGCTTTGGGTCATTTTGTAAAGAATTCAGTTACGGTGCAGAATGCCATGAATTTGAGCTCCACACTCAGTTAACAACAGCTGCATATATAAACAGCTTGTGCTAATGGATTGGTTACATGTGTGAAGGGACAGCTATTTAGGTTTGAGTGTTGTTTGCCTCAAAATATTGAAAGTAACATTCCTATTACAGAAATGTATGTATATATATTAAATTGTATGTATGTATATATTAAATTAAACAGGTTTAGTTTAATGAAAATCATCCATTTAATCACTCAAGAGCAAGCTTTCACTACTTTAGTTGCTGTTGTTAAGCATTCCACATAAGGCCAATGTACTGTAGGGCTAGTATTACAAATCACATATCCAAATTAAGCCTCAGCCTAGACTAGACTAAAGTTTTACCATTAAAGACCAGTCTTAATCCATGTCCACAACACCAGCCTTATTTCTCTAGTTCAATTGCTGTGTGGTGCTCTTGTAAACAAACAACTGGAACAACATGACTGTCTCTTCTCATGGGCAGCTGTCACATGCTTTGTCTAATCACAGATCACTCTAGACCACTTGGTTCTATTGTAGAGATATAGGGAAATCACATTTCACCCCAAATAGCTGCCAGTTCAATATACAGTTAGTGCTTTATTAGATTCTCCCACCATAATTTCTGACATTCAACAAGTGTCTGAATAATAACTCTGTTTGGTTTTAAGAAGGACACTTGATCTGTGTCAAAAGCTTGAAGGTACTGTAAGAATTTCTCTCACCACTTTGTGGTTTGCAGATACAGAGCCACTGCTGGTCCTCTGAATTGGTGTGGGGTGAAGGTTATACACGGCCAGAGATGATTCAGCTGTAAACAAGATGTAAACAAGATTCATCAAAGCTCCCTACCAGCACCTGACCAGAGAAGACTTTACTGGTCCCTGTAAACAACAGAAGAACATTGCGAACTTCCTTCTAAAAGGTTCAGAAATAAACTGAGGGAGGGCTGAGTAGAGCATCATGATTGACCTGAGCTACCTAACCGAGGAGGAGCAGGAGATGATTATGACGGTGATAAAGAGGGATTCAGAGCTGAAGAAAGCAGAGGAGGAGCGGATCAAGTGAGTTCCCTTGACATAGCATCAATCACAATCATTCGTGAAACAGTATCTTAGTATTGGCATGATATTGCTATACTGATATTACAGAAGGCTCCAATATGCAAATGAGATGAATTAGGGCTTTCATGTAATCCAACAATTTTTTTTTTTTGTCAAAATCATGCAGGCCAATCTTTAACCACGTTACATTATTGATTCACCAGTTTTAAAACATCAGTATTTGTATCAATATAACGGCGCTACAATTTCATCTATGTTGTGCAGTCGTAAATTCCTACTGATATTGATATAATTACATCCGAAGCAAAACATCTCGGTGTTTGGAAGTGCTTGGCCTTCAGATGTCCAGCATTGAAAGGAAAACAGGGACTTTTTCAAGTCTCTTGAGAGAGACTTGTGAGAAAATTATGTTTGTCGCCTAATGTAATAAAGGCAGAAGCAGATTCCGTGTCTGATCACTCAGAGGACTGCTTTAGGGTGAGTCAGCTAATTGCATTACCACTCAACCTCAGCTTTAAAGCTTAATTTTAGAAAGAAGCATTCAGGTAGCGCTGAAAAATGCACCATATCAGAGTGCTCAAACAGGTACTCCGCTTTGTTAGGCCTACAATGAAGATGGAACCATATTGAACCACCAGTGCCAAACAGACTGTTTTTAAGTGCTCCACGTTTCATAGAGCATTTTGTAAGTGGACACAACGAACTGGAGAGTTATGTGATCTCAATTTCAAATACCCAATGTGCAGTGTCTGGGAGCCTGTGTGCCTACATGAAAGGAAAAATGCAGAAACTGGCCGCGACTGGGTGATTTCCTTGCATTCAGCCACGGCCTTGCTCAACCTTGTATAAAAGGATTAAGTCTACCCTTGTGGAATAATTGTCTTGCCCTTTTCACATGACCAGCATAGTTTCCCTGAAAATGAAGATGTGTTCCATTTGCCAACAGCCAGACACATGATTTTAATCGAACTGTTTTGATTTACTGCCATGGCTCACAACATTTTGATTAAGTTATGACCTTTTTTAATAACTTCTTTAAACATAATTGGATTGTCTACATCTGACTGAATGCAGTGGAATTGGAAAGAGTTAAAAGTAGTTCCAGAGTTTTGTTGGGTGGTTGAGAGAGGGACAACTGTTTTCCTTTGCAGTTTTAGCTGTCTTAGAAATAATGGCAGTTACGTAATGAGTGGTTACCATAGTATTGCCTTACTATGCACATTTAAAATAAAAGCCTTCAGGTTGGTAACATGCTAACTGAGGGGCAACAAGTAATAAGGAAATAGTTGATTATGATGGTGCACTGTATACTTGTGTGATAGATAGCCATGTTCTTTGTCTTTATAAAGCAAACAGCTGGGTGGCCAGCATGGGCAATGTTTGTCATTTAGGAGGCTCTACAGCAGATGGATAGCACTTCAGCAATTAACTGCCAAGTTGAATTCAGCTTTGTTGAATTTTATCTTGCAGAAGTTCTTCAGAAGACTCTTACTGTGCAATTCTTTTGAAGTAGAGTACCACAGAAACTGGGGAAAAGTGGTACAAGTGGTTATTAACTCAAAACATATGCAATTTATGTAGAGAAATAAACAATGCAGCATTCAGAACATATAATGATAAAGATGGAAAATCAGTAAAAGATGGTGAGATTCAAAACAAAGTAATTCGGGGGCCTTTTTTTCTGTGGCTGATGAAGTAAACAAGTTCTTGGAATGTACGGCATTTGTCTTTAACTAATTCATTGTGATGGGACAGGATTAGGTTATATTTGGTTTAGCTGTTTGCAAGTGCTTCCTCAGGTACAAGGGGCAAAGGAAGAAACATAAGAAAGATTTGCTTGAACACAGTCTTCCAAGTTGATTGAGATACACATAGTAAACTTAAACGTAATGTTCTTGACTAAAGTGGCAGTAAGGCAGGAGAGGCTGTTGTGGTTTGTGGTTAGGCCTAAGGGAAATGGACTGCATAGTGATTTTACGCCATGTGGTTAAAAACCAAATAATCAAACCAACACAAAATGATTCCAAAGTGTATGTATGAAAAAGGATTTTATAGCCTTAAAATATCTACAACCAGAAACTTTTGTTTCATGATAGCCTTTTTCAATGTTCTTTTGAACAACAGGCAGTTGCAAAAAGTGGGTCCCGAGCAGGGCAAACTGAAGTACATGACAGGGGAGTGGTTCTATGAGGCGAAGTCTCAGAGACACCGGGACAGAATTCATGGTTCTGATATCATCATGGCATCTATGAAACAGAAGAAACCCATGACAGTGGGTGAGTCTTCATGACATTACATACACAAGGAACAGCTACTTTGTGCTTCTGGAGAAGATTTAAAAGAAAAGAAATAGAACATATAAAGACAATTTTTAATTTTTTAACAGATTGTAATATATGGCTTGATAAGTATGTAATTATACAAAACAAAGAAAGTAAATGTGGATAATACAGATATACACCAACTACCCACTTCATATAGTACACTGATTGTTTTTACACTCACTGTCCATTTTATCAGCTCCACTTACCATTCAGGTACACTTTATAGTTCTGCAATTACAGACTGTAGTTCATCTGTTCCTCTGCATACTTTGTTAGCCCCCTTTTACCCTGTTCTTCAATGGTCAGGACCCCCACAGGACCACCACAGAGCAGGTATTATTTGGGTAGTGGATCATTGTCAGCACTGCAGTAACACTGACGTGGTGGTGGTGTGTTAGTGTGTGTTGCGCTGGTCTGAGTGGATCAGACAGAGGAGTGCTGCTGGAGTTTTTAAACACTCACAGTCCACTCTATTAGACACTCCTACCTTGTTGGTCCTCCTTGTACATGTAAATGTCAGTGACAGTAGCTCATCTGTTGCTGCACAGTTTGTGGTCATCCTCTAGTCCTTCATTATTGGTCACTGGGCGCTGCCCACAGGACGCTGTCGGCTGGATATTTTTGTTTGGTGGACTTTTCTCAGTCCAGCAGTGACACTGAGGTGTTTAAAACCCCAGCAGCACTGCTGTGTCTGATCAACTCTTACCAGCACAACACACACTAACACACCACCCCCACATCAGTGTCACTGCAGTGCTGAAAATGACCCACCACTCAAATTATACCTGCTCTGTGGTGGGCCTGTGAGGTTCTAGACCATTGAAGAACAGGGTAAAAGGGGGTTAACAAAGTATGCAGAGAAACAGATGGACTACAGTCTGTAATGGTAGAGCTACAGAGTGCACCTGAATAGTAAGTGGAGATGATAAAATGGACAAAAAATTTAGATGCATGATGGTATAGTTAATGAAGTGGCTGGTTAGTGTATATACCTCAGGCAGAATTCTACAAGGTAATGAAAATATGATCTAGAAAATGACCAATCCAGTTGTAAGTGCAGTGTGCAATATGGAGTTTGAGCATCTCAGACAGCACTGCTCATGAACCCCAACCACGAGAACTGAACTCATGGTTATGACCAGGTGGCATGAAAACATCAATAGAGTTCTGGTAGTGTGTTCCCATGTGGGAGTTTATGTGCGGTAATGTGTAATCTAATAATTCATTTTTAATAGAATAAAAGAAGAATTTAAGAATAAAAAATATTTGTAAACAATAAGATTTTTCAAAAATAAATCTTTTGGATTAAATGCCACTTTAAACACTTGTCATTTATATTATGTTCTATAGTACACAATCTATTGGTGATTACCTAATCACCAGTAATGTGTTTCTTCTCTTCCCTTTAGAGTTTTTAACTCAGTCATGGAGGGAACGATCCAGTAAAAGTAACGATGCTATGACAGCAAAACCAGGGACATCAGACAGTCTGAAAAGGTGACTCACAGTGTTCCAGCAAAACACCAGCATTTGTGGTCATTACATTCCTACCCTGCCTGTCTGTCCTGATGCAGTTTGTGTAATGAAAGGCCTTTGACAAATAATGAATGCATTAAGGAGATACTGTCATAAGGATTATAAATTCATGTATGTAGCACTTACAGCTTAGAAGGATTAGTGGGGGTAATGTACTGGACAGTAGCCCTGTGTTTGTCAGATGACCCGGAACAATATAAAAGTTATTACTCTCTGCTGTTGCTAGAACCTTGTACTGTGTGTAATGTTACTGTTTGAGCAGCTCAGTTCTCTCCCAGTTAGTTCATGTGTGTTTTTTAGGTGTGGATATCTTATGATTTGAAGTGCCAGATGACTCAATTGAGAGTCAACAGAGGCGTTTGCATTCAGTGTTTTCAGAAGACCATGGTCTGAAAGCCACCATCTTGTGTGAATGTAAATAAAAATGCCACTGGGTCAGGATATTTTTGTTAGTATGAAAAGAAGTGTTTCAAGATTTTCTTTAATAAGAAACATTAGATCTATTAAAAGAAAAAAAACAACAAAAACTGGGAATGCCGCATTGAGTGGGAATGCCACAGTGGAGCAATTTCCCTAAGGGAGATTTCAGAATTATGAGCATGGCAATTACTCACAAAATTAATAACCAGGCTTGTTACATCCTAAGGCTTATTACTCAGTAATTACACTGACTAAAATGCCACCTGGCAAAAATATTCTTACAGATTTTTATGTGTATGTTTGAACCTGCCAGCAGGTCCTGGCCATTTAAAAGGTTGACAGTAGATTATTTGGACCTTAAAGTACTTGATTAATATGGCTGTGATGTCACTTTCTGATTTATTTATGCACATTCCTTCTTCTGCATTTAAATAACAGTGAAACATCAGAGGCTCAGCAAGACAGAATGAATTTGGGCATGCGGTCACCATCCAGAGTATGTAAAGTGCTTGCTGCTCACCTAAACCAGTGTTTTGGAATTTGGTCGTGAATTAATGCTTTGTGTTTTATTTGGAGTCCAAACATGTTTATATTGTAGATTTTGAATACATTGAAAATAGAATAAAATATTAATCAAATCAGTCTTACTTATAAACTTGCTCTCTTTTTTTTTGTTCCAGCCAAGACACAACCCATTTAATACTGTTCCAATAAATCTAGACCTTGAGGAGATTAACAGCCATGTACCCAATGGAGCCCCAGGACCTAGAGCTAAGAAAACATCAGTTAGAGGTTATTTAACAGATTGTCCGATATGTAAAATATACCTATACATACATATGTGTATGTATATATATATATATATATATATATATATATACACACACAAATGTTCAAAATTGAAAAAAAATACTATAATTCCATTAAATTCTGGTTTCACTCATACTTATCTGCTTGCATCTTCAGCAGAAATGCCTCCATTGAAAACTCATGAAGCAACAGAAACTGAAACGAAAAACGAAGTCTCTGACACTCTACAGGAACTAGCTCCTCGTCAAAAACCTGTGCCAAAAAAGAGAACCAAACTTTATAAACTCAGCTCAGTTTCAGACAACACCAGTGTGTCTACAAGCTCTGGTATTAGGTCCCCTGTGTCCACACAAAGTGTGTCTACAAGCTCCAGTATCAGTTCCCCTATGTCTACCCCGAGTGTGTCTACAATCTCAGACAGCACATCCACTGTGTCCACACAAAGTGTTTCTACAAGCTCAGGCCTCAGGTCCCCTCCACCAAGAGGCATCCTCAAACATAGCTCTAGCTGTAGCTCCAGTGACTCCAACATCAAGAGCCAACTGCCACGGCCTCTCAACCGCCTTAGCTCAGTTCCCACCAACACTGTTCTAGAGCAAGCTTTTGAAGAGCATGCAATAACCAAGGAGAGAACAAAGCCCTCTCTCAATTCAAAAGACGAAGAACCATCAAGGTCCTCTTCACCACTGAAGTCAACCATGCCAAAGTCACGTTTGCCTGTGCGATCTCCGGTGCCTTTGAATACTTCAGAACAGAAAGCACAAGAGAAGCCAAAAATACAGCCACGACTGAGTTTGACTTCAAGCATCCGCTCAGATGACGAACACAAAACCCCAGGCATAATGCATACAGATACACATAAACATGAAGATAATAACACTCATAACTGGTTAACATCTGCTGAACCAGAGAACCAAATAACAGTTGATGGGACAAAGGATAAACCTCTGTCCGTTCCTGGACCAACTGCCAAATCAACACTGGAAGCACACTTGGACAATCTAATAAATGAGAGCACAGTCCCTCAAATCTCACAGTACAAACTGAAGGAAGAGGACTATAAGTTACCCAAAAATGAAAATGAACAAACACAAGAGCAACGATATCATCCTCAAACCACTGTTGGTAAGATCAAAAACTTTTTTCTAATTTCAAAAATCTTTTACCAGAAAAGGTATATACATTCACACACAATCTGTTTAGTTATTGTTTGATCTAGGACAAATAAATTAATGAAAAAACAGACCATCATAATAACTGTCAGTTTTGTAGCAATTCTTATTCCACAGGATGTCTTTCTTTCAACATTATATGATGTTTTCACAGATCAGCATGAATATGAAGCCTCCAAGAGAGTTGAAGCCTCCCAAAAAGTTGAAGCCCCTTGCCCAGTATCTAGTTCCCAAATAGCTGATGCTAACCTTGAACCTGAGAGTGGCTACAGTCCACCTACATTTAACATAAGAACCAAGCCTAATATAAAAACTGATGACTACAAACATCCCCTCAAGGTAGATTCCCCTGCTCCAAACCCCAATGAGGAACAGGGAGACTCTATCGCTAAAGTTCTGGAATGGTTCAGCCGGAGCTCAGACAGCAGCGATAAACTTGACTCCGAGGGCAGCGTGAGGGCAGACATGGAGGATGACACCAAGATCGAGGACATTGACTTTGAAGATGAGATAAATCTAAGAGCCAAACCAGAGGACAATGTTTACTTAATTATTCCAAAACAAAACAATGAGAATACTCCAAAGATGAATGATTTGTTTTTTAAGGAAAGTGACTGGGGGGAAGAGCTGAGTGTGGATGAGCCAGAGCCTCTTAGGAAAACTCAGGATGTTAGACAAGAAAGATTTGAATCTAAGCCATCAAGAGTGGAACCACTTCCTGTTACTGGTCCTTCTACTTACACGTCTTTTCAGCCAGAGAATGTCACTCATAGAAAGATGGATATCTCTGAAAAAGCCGGTTCAAAAGATAAAGGTATAGAGGTAGCTAGCAAAAATGAGGAGAGAATCAATGTTGACAAGTTAGAAGGCACAGAGAGCAAACTCACTCAACATCAACTGAAGGAGACAATAGACCACGAGGAGAATCAGCCACCAAAAATTGCCAATTTAAAGTCATTCTGGGAGAGAGGTAACACTGGTCCAAAGATACTGGTCAGCAGATCAAGCATGAATTCTGAAAAGGAAAACAAAACTGTTAACCAAAATAATGCTGGCAAGAAAGTGACAGATGACATAGAGGAACCACCCAGTGTTGAACTGAATTCAAAAGTGAATTATGCAATAGCTGAAACAAAGGAACAAGCAAGTGTTAAGGAAGTTCTGAATGTCGATGACAGTAAGAATATCATTAGCACAGGTTCAAATTATGAATCCAAACAAGAAACCATTATCAAAGATATGCAACCACCATGGAGTTTTACTAATCACAGGAAAGATATAGTGGTTTCGAATTCCCCCTCAGACACAGATGTTACACCACTTTTGCATCTAAAATCATCCTCACCTTCACTAGACAATGCGTCCTTTGTGGACGGCCAGAGTAATGAAAATGCGAGAGGAACCACGAGTGTTAACAGCAGTGAGGGAGATTGCATGTCCCCAGCGGTGCTAGAATTAGACCACAGAACAAAGACTGAAGAATTGCAGGCTAGACCTGGATCTCCACCTAAGTCTAGCACTCACATGCAGCAGCAAAATCCAGTGCCATTAGCAAAGCAGAGTGGCCAGCAGCAAGACAACAGGGCAGAAGGGATAAAACAGCTCAAACTGTTTTGGGAGAAAGAAAAATGGGAACCCAGGATATGCATCAGATCATCAGCAGCCGATGACACTAAATCATCTGTGACCTCCTCTGCAAAGCTGAATAAAAGATTCACCAAATCAGAGTTTGATCTTCGAACCATTGGCACAGAGTTAGATGATGAATTTGAGGACAGAGGCAGACAGTCTCCAAATTTTACTTTTCTTCCATTGCGAGACAAGTCGGTCACAGCAGAAGGCATTAACAGTTCGCAGTTCAAGGCCCTCCGTGACTTTTGGGCTGGGTCTTCCGCCAAGCACTCACCCTCTCTCGAAAGCCAAAGTCCAGAAGTAAAGCTGTTAAGCTCAAAAGCTGAGACTCACAAAGAGCACTCCCCTGTGGATGCAAAGCTTTATTTGAACCAGAATCTTTACCCAAACCAGTCAGATAAGACCAATTTGACAGGGCTTGGAAATGATGGTGGAAACACTAAACCCCCAAGGACAGACAGAGCATTCCAATCTTCTTCAAAAGAGAGAACAGCTGCCACAAGACCTGACCCTGATTCCAAAGCTAATTTCTTCTACAAACCTTCAGGTGAGCCAGACCTTCTGAGATCATCCAATTCCCCTCAGCCACGGAGAGGCTCGCAATCATCTCTGAAGGATACAGTACCTCCTAAACCTCCAGGTATGCTCAATAAGGAATCAAGGCAGCTGGGTAGAAGGAGCAGTAAAGGAATAATAAATGGAAGAGGAAATTCTCTCCGACGTGCCACTAGCATGTTCACAGTCAACATGGATGATGAAGACCAACGTCACTTGCAGGACCAACGTCACTTGCAATCCAAGAAAGCACCTGACACAAACCTCCCACAGATAAAAACGGCAACTGAAGTTAGCATGTCACCGTCCAAGAAGAGTCCAGAAGCTAATTTACAGGTGAAGAAGTCTCAAGAAATCAGCAAGAACAGGGAGAAAATCAGTGAGAGAAGACCATCGCGCACTTCTGAGGATTCTGATTCCCAACCTCTTGCCAGGTCTTTTGTTCCACGGGACTACCAGCACTACCTGGGAATCACAGAGAATAAAGGCATGTTCACTCCTCCACAAGTCACTGAGCAGATGAGCGAAATAGTCTGCACCCCATTCCAGATGTCTCCAGACACAGGCTGCAGCCTGAGGTGCTCTCCTGTTCAGGCTAGCACTCCGGCAGGCTCAGCTGAGCTTCGCGCTAGAAGAGGGAGCCTGGGCCAGCGTCACAATACACACAACAGTGAAGATCTCGACCATAGCACTTTATATACCGTAGACACCTGGTCCCACTCTCGGGCAAGTTCAGACCGTGAGATATGCATGTTTTTACCTTGTTTTTTTTAAATCTACAAATAATATGGTTAACAACATAATACAGAGGAATGTTAAATCAATTTGCAGATTTAAATGTATATATTTTTCATGAATAAGGCATGTTTATAATTCAATCACACTCACTTAGGAATTTCCTGTAAAGCAATAATTTGTCAGGAGAGGGTGGACCTTACATGGCATTCAATTAGTTCACAACTTTTTATAGACATTTTGCATGTAAACAGAAAATCCTGTGTTCTTCATCAGCTCCTCCCACTGACTTTGTAGACTTTGTGTTACAACACTAGGTTGAAATTTTAGTGTATAAGTTAGTGTCAGGTGGCTTCTGCCTTTGTGTTGAATACGCTTTACTGTGTGTCAGTATGTAACTAATTGTTATGTAACTGCTCCTTTGTGATCCTGACTCTCACGCCTGGCAGGTGACGAGGAGAGTCTTGTTCAGGGTGCGCTCAGACGGGCTGTCGCTAGACCCATATACCATAAAAGCCTTGAAGACATCACTGCAATACCAAGTGAGTGTTAGTTTTATATTTTAAATATAATTAAGCTGAGCTTTTGAAAAACACAAACACTTTTTCTTAACAAATTTCTTTATTCTTCATACCACTATTAGCTCTAGAATGGCCAAGCACTTGATCCTCTGTCCACTGTAGCTATATTCAGCTACCCTTTTCACTGTAATGAGTCCACCTTCTCATGTAGTAATATTATACCTCCTTTGTCTGTGTCCTGGGTAAAATGTCTCTTTGTGCAACTTAGAATGGGAAATTCAGGTGACAGTTATAACTCTGCAATGTGCTCTACTTTCTATGTGTTTTGTCTTTGTACTATCCTCTGTAGGACCAACAAGAAAAAGCAATGAAATGGATGACTCCATGCCAAATAGCTATGACAGTAAGAATGTTTGTCCTTTGTACACTAATAGAACAACTTCAGAAGTTTTGTTGTGGTGTTTCAACCATCCCGAGAAATCAATGCTGCACAGGGGTGTCACTAGGCCAGTTTTAGGGGGGGCTTTCCCTTCCCAAATAAGTGTACTTTACTAGTTCAAAACATGTATAGTTTATTCTCACTCAGTCCACATTATTCAACTGTGTCATTGCATCTCCAAATTTACAACATACTGTGACAGCAGGGTGCGACCTGGGGGAGGCGCTGCTGCTGCTCTAATCCAGCTCTGTCTCTGCTGTGCTGCCACAAATTTAGTAACATAACGTGAAAAGTGGAATGCCCAGCTCGGCCAATCATATAAGAATTTAGAAGTTGTAAGCCAGTCATATCAGACCTTGTAGGTTGTATGCCAATCATATGAGACCTGGGGAGGGTCTGATTCTGATTGACTCATTAATCCGTGTATTTGAATAATATATTTAGAATCTTGCAGCTTAACTAAGAGAGAGGAGATAGCATTGATTTCACTACCTTTGCTTGATCTGTGCCTGTTTTAAGTGAATGGATAAAGTTTTAAGTCATACTAGCTCTGTGCTTAATACAAACTACAAAAAGACAAATCTGCTGTGTGCCAATTTGACCAAATAGCCATTTTTTAAAACATTTTCTGGCTGTTGCGACTCTAAAAGTTTATGATGAACAGACATTTCTGGGCCATTATGAAAAATTCTCTTGGTGGACCAGGCCCCCCTAAGTATAGGCTTAGCCCCCCATGCATAAATAGTGACATTCCTGATGCTGCATGTTATTTGACATTTGCACCATACTGCAGTTATAAATGACGGTTTTCCTTCAGACTCCAGCACTCCTTCCCCACCCTCATCCTCCTTCTCAGACCCAGAGCACCTGAGGAAACTCAGCAAGTCCGTCCCCTCTTTCCTGCAGAAGGAGGTATAGCATGTTCATACTGACCCAAGCTCAAGTACTAAAGGGCTGTACAATATAGAAAAAAGATTACACTGATTATATTAGTCACAGTGTGAAACACAGGGGGTCCTGGGGGTCCAACACCCCTAATTAATCTCTTGGAACCCCTGAATGTCTCAAAATCAAAATTCTACAGGGTCCCTGAAAATAAACTTATTATGGCATTATGCTGTCCATTAGGGACAAATAGATGCTCAAATTCAAATTCAGGGAAAGGTCATTGTTAACCTACAATTGGCGAGCTTCTGTCTTTGGTATTCTTAATTAACTAGTGATGCAGCACTGGTCTGCCTCAAGGTGGTGCTATAGCAAAGTGGTTCACCCAGTTGGTTCTTCATAGCCTAGCAACTGTTACTATGCGCAGGACTTCTGAAAACTTTACAATGTGCCATAGCATATTTGTAAAGCTGTAAAGTTTTCGCAAAGTTTTCAAATTAAAGCCTTCTGCAATATGAGTTCTGCAGTGTTCGATACCGCGATATTGTCCAGCCCTAAATATATATATTGTCTAGCCTTAAAAAACATGAAAGCATAGCAAAAGTTGCTTTTTTTCCCCATTACCTAGAATGATGGAGGGGAAAGTGACTCCACCTCAGAGTACAGTTCTCACAGCGGCATGCACTGGCAAAACAGCATACCACGAACTAACCTTAGAAGCAACTCAGCCTCTACATCTTCTGTATGTTGCTATTCCCTTGCTTCACATCCCACTAACATCATTAATTAATTTGTATATTGGCTGGCCTTCTGTTGACTGTCTGTGTATGCTCTCAGCATGGCATGGTCATCCATATGCTTTGCAACGGTTTCTTGTTCTACTACTACACTGGTTAAGCATGTGCCTGAAATCCACAGGTTAGCGGGAGTGTGATGAGTGTTTACAGTGGCGACTTCACAAGTGTGGAAGTTCAAGGGACCATCCAGTTCTCACTAAACTATGTGCAGAAGTTGAGAGAGTTCCATATCTTTGTGGTTCAGTGCAAAAATCTGGCCGCGGTAGATCCTAAGAGGAACCGATCTGACCCGTAAGTAGCCTAGAACCCCTCGTACTGAACAGTCCTTTAATATTTGTGAGATAGACTTGATCTGACTTCATACTTTAAACCAAGACATGTTTAGAACATCAGATATCCCTAAAACTGTTTTCAATGCTTCAATTGCAGGTATGTTAAAAGTTACCTAATCCCTGACTCTTCCAATTTGGGAAAAAAAAAAACGTCAGTGAAAAAGAGGACCTTGAATCCTACATACAATGAGATTTTAAGGGTAAAGGACCTGATGTATATGAATTGCACTATGTCTGTTTTCTGGGGAGACGTGAATTCAATTATACATTTAGTATGCAGACCATGCATAATTTACAATCATAAATATTTCAATTTTGTTAAATGTAGGCCTATTTTTTTTTCTCCTACAGTATAGAGTTCGAATGGAGTATTTAAAAACACAGATTCTTAACCTCTCTGCTTGGCACAATGACACGTTTGGCCGGAACAGTTTCCTGGGAGAGATAGAGATCGACCTCTCCACGTGGGATTTTGGAAACACTAAGATTAACTCCTTATCCCTCAAATCAAGGGTATATTATGACTCTTTATATACTTAGTATTTAAATACATGTTGTAAATGTAAAAATGTATGAATAAAAGTACAGCACTGCATTTCTGAATATGTTGTCTTGACTTCTGAATCTCTCCTTCCAGAACACAAGCAGCCTCCAGCCTGCAGAGGACAGAGGCGAGATGAGACTGGCCATACGTTTCTTACCCCAGCTCTCCCACTGTAATATCTGAGATTTCTTAACAGATTATTGCTTTATACAGTTCCATTCAACTTTTAAAGCTAACTAGGAACTGAGATACAGAGACAAGTACAAACAATTTAGATTTTCTTGTTGCTCATTAGTTGTGCTCTATGTGTGTGATGCTTGTTTCTTTCATACAGCAAATACGGTCCCCAACTCAGGTGAAGTGCATATCTGGGTTAAAGACTGCAAGAACCTGCCTCTGATCAGAGGTGCAGCTATAGACCCATTTGTTAAATGGTAATGTCTACAGATAGCATAAACACTTTGAATGCTTCGTGGTGCTGTCATATTATTGACCATGTGTTATTGGGCTGAAAGATTAATCGTCTTTATATCAGAATCGTGATTTGAAAGAGTACAATTGTCATATATGTTTTTAAGTAAGGGAATTTAACCTAATAAGACCACCTTCATTACAGCCACAGCTAACTGGCAGTCTGGTTAATAAGACAGCAGCCTTGAAGAAAAGACATTTTTAATGGAAAGGAGTTGAATAGAATAAAACGTAGCATAACGACAAGCTGTTAAGTGTTCAAGTCTTAATCTAGAAAAAGTGGGTATGCTGGTCCTCTTAGCAAAAAAAACAGGCCTGGATCATAGTTTATAGAAAAATTAATGCAATTTAAATCACAGTCACTGATATTGGTCAGAAAAAGTGCAGCTAGATATTCTGCCCAAATCGTTCAGCCATAGTCTGTTGTATTGCAGAATTATTGCATAAACATTGTCTAAGCCATGTAGTGCTGTTCTGGCAAATTTTCATATCGTCATAGCATGCCTCCATGTACATAAGGCCTTGGTGCAAATACTGAATATAAAGATGCTAAATTGATAGCTGAGTTCTGTGTTCCATAACTGATATAATGACCACATTATTACATGATGATATGGTTTACATTCGCTATAATGGAAAATATAAGGGTGTCCATACAATTTAAAGATTTACTTTCTTTTTCAAAATGAATGAATTTCTATGGCAAGTTGTGTTATTTTAGCAGTTTTTCACCCTACATTTCTTTCCTCTATTGTAGAGAATTTTGAGAATTTCAATATCAGCACATGAGGATGGTCATGTTTGTGTGTATGTCTCCACAGTTTTGTACTGCCTGACACCAGCAAAAAGAGTCGGCAGAAGACGCGGGTGTTAAAGAGGACAACAAACCCTGTGTTTAACCATACCATGGTGTATGATGGCTTCAGGGCAGAGGATCTGAAGGAGGCCTGCGTGGAGCTGACCGTGTGGGACCGGGACCGGCTGGCTAATCATCTGCTTGGAGGACTGCGGCTGGGCCTGGGAACAGGTAGAGCAATCTTTAGTGGGGAAAACCACTAACTGTGTAAACTTGGTGTAGATACATATCTTAATGCCTTATGTTGGTTACAAATAGCAGCCTATAATTTGGTTATTCACTTATTAGATTTTACAGAGAATATGCGTTTTTTGTGACTGCAGTTTGTTTGCATCTAAGCCAGGCAGCACTGAGTGAAAAGAAAGAGAATATTGTGTCAGTTTTAGCATCAGTACGTTGGCTACTGGTTTGATTTTGGACCGATAGCTGGCATTTCTGAGTGCTGAGCATGTTGCAAATAGAGTTAAAAAAACATCAAAAGTAGGGCAAATATACTTCTCAGACGCACTGCATTATACCATTTTGGAAAAACCTCTATCCCCTTCGCCTTTTATTAGACTGTGCAGTTATTCTTAGAACATTAATTGAATTTAACTTTTCTCTCTCTTTCTCCCATCTTGTTCTTTTTTCTTGTTTTACTTTCATAATAACCGTCATTTCATGGTTTTATTATTATCCTTCGCAGGCAAAAGCTACGGAGTAAAAGTGGACTGGATGGACTCTACCTCTGAGGAAGCGGCGTTATGGGAGAGAATGATGGAATCACCAAATGAATGGGTGGAGGATGTGTTGCCTTTGAGAATGGTGACCACAGCAAAAAGTACATGGAAATAACATGGTGTTAAACCACACTTGATAAAGACAGATTATATATGACATCTTATGTTACTCTGCATATATGAGTATATATTTGCATTTTTACCTTTCTTAAAAAAACAGGCTTTCATACTCACAATGTATTTTATTTTATTCAGTGTCAGACTAAGAACTACATTTGAATAAACTGTCCCAGCATCTTGTGTGATCATTTCTGTCCTCTTTACGTAATTAAAATGCCTTTTTCACTCTCACTCTGGTTTTCTGGTTGGCTTGAGCCAACTGTTTTTTAAACAACCATTGTTTTTTTAAATACTGATAATAAAAAATAATAGTCATAATTATAATATTAATCTTAATTTATAAAATGGTCACTAGTTTATGAAAAACAGATACAGTCTAAAAGCATTCTGTTGTGTGAGAAAGTGTTTAAAGGGCCCTTATCCTGCACTTGTCTTGTATTTTTTTTCTTTGCTTTGAGGTGTCCTTATGACATTTGTGTAGTTATATGTAACAAACACAGTCGTATTTTGCCATTACCTTACCATTTTCCAACCTCTCTTTTATTACTGAGTCTTTAAGACTGGGATATGTAAGTGAGCTTTGTTCTGATTGGATGGCCTGTATTGTGCTTCACTCAAAAAGCAGTCTGAAACACTCCTTGTAACTCCAGGGTAAATAGACGGTGCCAAATTGTTATAAGCTAAATAGGAAGAAAGATGTAAATGCACTCGTTTTGTGACATCACAAAAACAATGACTTCACAACAGGCTGTTTTGCAGCTTGGTGTATACATGCAGACTGTATTGACTGGGGAGTGAACTGTGCATTTTGATTCTTTATGTACTACATAAAATCTTTTACTTCACAAAAGAAAACATTTTGCATGATGTGGTCCCCTTAAAGATCAGTGTTATCAGTCTTGTGTAATAGGTGGGGAACTGTGGCAACTGCTAATCTTTCTCCCCACCTAGTGGGCACAGTTAAAACAGCACCACGTCAAGTGACCTTTTGGATTTATAGTAAAACAAGCCTTTGCTGTACATTCAGAAGTTCACTCCCTCTTGACAAATCTTGAACGTCGTAGTTCTAAAGATAAACAACTAAACCACAGCCTGTTAATCCACTCCAACTGAGAGCTCAGTGGACTTCAACACTGAGCATGATGCACTAGCCAGCCCTAATATAAAAAGCTGTTTGATTTGTAGTAATTTGATATTTAATAAAATCAAATACGAACATGACAAAACTATATAAAAGATTTTACTGGTGAGAATTATATTTTAGCATGTAAAATTCCAGTTCTCATAGTAAGAAGCTGTGGCTTTCTCAATTCACTTCAATTAGAGGAACAATTTTACTGAGATTAGTTTAACATGTAGCGACTTAGCTGATGTTGATTTGACGTTAGATTTGTGAGATTATGCTAGCGTTAATTTACCGGTTTGCTCTTAGAGTATTGAACTAAGTTACTGTTTCAGACATTTCAGTGATAGAATGAAATACACCCACATATAAGCACATAAGTTAGCCATGTAACTGCAGCGGTCAGTAAGTCTAGTCTGAAGTACTGGGACTAGCTACTAACATTAGCTTAGCAAGACTAGCCTAGCTAGCTTGGTTAGCACGTAGCGACTTAACTAGCACCTAGTTGTTACCTAACTACAAAAATGTTTTCCTGAAGCTTTCTTCATTTATTTCTTCACGCATTTCTACTTCTAGAAATTGATACTAAATGTGAGGTGACTTTAATGTTAGCTCACAGTTTCAGTGAGAGACTGTGAGAGTGTCTCTGATGTGTTTGTGGTACTCGGATATGAAGACGCTGAAGATCCTCAGCGTCTCTGACTAACAGTGAAGAATAAACGGCGGCACTACAACCGTTTAAATAGCTGTTACCTGTTAGCGTTAGCTGGCTGCTTGAGCCAGAAATGTTGACATTAGCTTCGAGAAACTCATGTTTGTTTGTCATGGCTCAGATAAATGACCAAATGAAAAACTACTAACCTTGCATGAAAGGGGACTTCCACCAATTTTTCAAAATGTTTGCATAATTCTCTCGTAATGTAAAATGATTCATTCAGAGTGGTTTGGTGTGAAATGGCTCATTGTAGAGAAACTCATAGACTCTGATTTCTTTACAGTGGGGCTGATAGTAACAAGAGGTCACAATGTCTACAACACAAATATAATCATTTTATTTACTATCCGAACCACTGGTGGACCTATACGTGTCTTCTGTGTTTTATAGGTAATGCTGATGACGGTTAAACAGTGGAAAATATGAAGTTTGAAGTTATTTGGGGACAGCGCCCTGCATGTACCTCTCCACCATGAATAGCTTAAAACTGATTAACAAGACATTTCAGGCCAAAACGTTCTCGCAAAACTATCATAAAACAATGTGTCAGACATCATGCAGTGTGTTTATAACCATTTAGTGGAACAGCTTTTTGTGAGGGAGCTAGTTTCTACCACCAGCCCTGTGAATAATTAGACTGTGTAAGTTTCTCTAGAACGAAGTATTTCACACCAAACCACTCTGACTGACTTTACATCTAAGTATGTGAAAACTTTGAAAAATTGATGGCGTTCCCCTTTAAATGTATCAGGTGGATCTTCAACCGCCCAATAAAATGATCTTTTTTATTGTTTATCCTATTATTTTCATTTCCACTTCCACTGATCAGACGTTGTTGGACCTGATCACGTGATTCATTAAACCTTAAGACTGTTGCAACAGTTGTGACTGAGTTTCAAAAGAGTTGCAGATGACTACTCAATGGAAAAGAGAATAATTCAATGATTCAATAATTTAATATGTTTATTTATTAAAAAATGTTATTTAATTTAATGATTCAATTATTTAAAATGTTTATTTATTTAAAAATGTATTTATTACATAAACGGAATGTCCTTATCAGTAGGTTATGGGGAAGTCAGAGAAGACGAAAGGTGCACAAATTGTGACATAAATGGAATAAAAGATTTTTGCTGAGAAACCCAAACTGATGTGACAACAGATTTTGCAGAAAATGATTTTCATTTTGTTGCAAAAAGTCAGTAGAAACATAATATCCACTGAACAATGTTAAATAAACATGAGTCAGTGATATTTTCAGTGTATCCAGCCTGAAGTTGTTTCTTAATGACTTTTGCACTCTGAATTAAAAAACAATACTTTAATAAAATGTCAACTGAACACTATACTACCTTAACAATTTTCAACCTCTTAAAAGATCCTATTACTCCTGTTTTTATCATTTTCCTATAAAATCATGTTGTGACAAATTGTCACTGTCCAAAAAAAAGAAGCATCTATTTTTTCCATTTTTATTTTTCTACATCTTTTGAGCACAGTGATTGCCCTTCACATTGTTTGAAAATTTCATGATGAATGGATGAATACAAATGCTCCAGAATTGCTTGGAATAAAAATATCTTTACCCAATTACTTCATATCCTGTAAAATTGCCTTTTTTGGACAGTGAAGAAAACAATAAACAAAATGTGAAACTTGCAGAAAATTTAAATGACTAAATATAAATTAGTACAGAATGTACTTTATTCAGATTCAGTGGGCAACTAGGTAACAATAAAAAGAACATTTCAAAAGTGCACTTAAAAAAGTCACATACTCAGAGGGTTAAGAGATACAGTGGGTTTGCATGTCTATGCCTCAAAGAGTTAGAGCTGGTTTAGACAGAGAAACCATTTATACACACATTATATATTATAAACCTTATATATTTATTTGATGGCAGCTATTTTGCTTAAAAAATAGGATGATATTAAATGAGTAAGAATAGTCGGATTCTAATGAGTCAAATCACACTAATTTACACTATTATACAGCATCATGAAATTATAACAGTTAAACATGTCTCTTATATAAAGATTTATATAATAAGGTTTTTGGAATAAGCGATGGAAGGAATGGTATAAATGCTTTAATAAAAACAATGTTGGAACAATGTAAGTGAATCTTCCAAGTAATTTCCAAAGTCAAAGATCAATTATTTACTAGAATGGCTATAAACATCAGCCCAGGTGATTACAAGAATTTAAACTATAAATCTTCACATTACTCTGTTACTGGAAAAAACTAGAGCAAAACTACAGCAACTAGAGTTTTGAGATTATTTCCCATCATGCACCCGGTGGAAATTGACAAGCAGATAAACCCTTTTCCTTACACTATATAATCATACAGATTGGAAAATACGTTGGCTGAGTGTGTAAAGATCTGAGGCTCAGCCCAGTTCACTGTAGAACTGTATATTCTGGCAGATCATCACCCAGAATTTTTCATTTATATAATAAGGTTTTTGGAATAAGCGATGGAAGGAATGGTATTAATGCTTTAATAAAAACAATGTTGGAACAATGTAAGTGAATCTTCCAAGAAATTTCATAAGTCAGTTTTCTTTTTTTCTGACATGAGGGGGCCAATATTTTATGTGTTCACTGAATGAAGAAAATAACTAAATAATATAATGTGCACTTCTTTCACAGTATATACCCATATCTGAAGCACCACAGCAGTATCCTCTTAAAAATAAAGATGCCAAAAAGCGTTCTTTGCACAGTGTCATAGAAGAACAACTTTTGGTTTCTTAAAGAATTTTGGATGCTTCTTTTGAGAATCATTTTTGTAAATGAGATGTGTGAGTGTGAAGAACCGTTTTAAAGAACCTCCAAAGAATGTAAAAGTTCTAGGAAGAACTCTCAAATTGATATAGAACCTTTACATTGTGTGAAGGTTCTTTAGCCTTTAAAAGGATCTTCACACTTACAAATCAGTAGTTTTAGTAGTTCTTCTATAGCATATTTATGCTTAAAGAACCCTTTGCGGCACCTTTAAAGAATGTATACAAAAGCACATATGAAAGGCCACAGTGATGTTTTTTGAAAACATATTTAATTTTATATTAAATTTGCATTTACATGTTTTTCTTCAAAGCAAAAAAAAATACATACAGCGTATATACAGGACTGTAGTTTTACATACTGTAAAGGTAGAGGATCTTGACTGTGAATTTGAAGGTGTGTCTTCCCAACTTCTCCCATCGCACTGCTTTGTTGACACACATAATGAGTCCAGAAAGATGGTCAGGTCACCTAATAATGGATAACACATCTGCGCTTCTTATAGAACATGAGAAACACAACAAGTCCAGTACAGCAGACGCTCAACAAGCATGTGAGAGTAGCAACCGCTGCTACAGTTTCACTAGTTTCAGGGAGCGATGAGGTGGCTGGAGAGAGAAAAAGAATATTGCATGAGATGCAATTATTATACTTAAGCATATAATATTTTAAATACTTAAATACTTCATACTTCTAAGTAGAAATGGCAAATACCAGGGATTGGGCCTATATCAGCAGAAAGTGCTGGATAAGATAACATTAGAAATATAAGGAATGACTCAGATCCAATCCTGTAACAGATCTATTCTGAAATAGCAAACACTCACTGTGCATTTCTTCCTGTGGGGTTGCAGAGTGACGCAGTAGTTTGAGCACGATAGACTATTTTACAGACGCTAATCTTAAGGCAATTAAGATTAATTACAAACAGCTCATTTTAAAGAAAGAAGAATAAATATCGGGCCGCTGTCGATATTGGACGATACTCAGTTTCAACACCAGTATCGGAAAAGAAAAAGGTGCTATTATGCCATCTCTACTTATGACCTTAATATAATCAGACTTTAGAGTGTAGTTCTTACACTGAGTGGATGATGACGGAGGTCCACCTAAAGAGAGACGAGAAGAATCATGAAAATTTCAACTGAGTTGCTCATTTGGATCTTTACATTATCAAATGTTTTCAACACATTTGGGGACAAACAGCTTTTTCAGAATTGTATTAAATAAATGTCTGAAATAAATGTTATTTAGATTTTGCCATTTATCCTTTGCAAAACCTGGTGAACTGAAGTAACAACTGTCAAAAGCTCTTGTAGTGCTAACAGTGCCAACCCCCACAACTTTTATCTGTTTGTTATTTAACCCCAAATTTCGGTCACAGATTGTCTTTCATAGAGATGGAAGACTGGATGCAAAAAGGCTTTGAATACAGAAAAGCAGAACTTTAAAAAAGGAGCAGAAACAAACAAAGCTAATCGGAAAAACAAGTTTACAAAGTAAGAGGACTTATGGCTCAGAACTCTGCTAGTTGGCAAGAGACTTCACAACTGAGGAAAGAAAGCTGAAGTTTAAATAGCACAGATGGAATGAGGAACATGTGGAGGGCAGAGCCGGTAATCAGTAGACAGGCGACACCAAGCGAGAAAGAGCAGTAGGCAGAGACGGGGACCTGACAATTACACTCCTTGTTGAAGGCTATGTTGCAATACAGGCTTTTTAACTCAATGAAGAGTGCCATGGATATTCACTTTTTCTCAAGATAAAGGGCCAATACCATGCAAAGCTGAATTTTCTTCACTTTCTAGCAGTTAAAGAGTTTGTTACAGTATGTAAACATTGTTAAAGTATCAAAACATACAATTCACTCCCCATTCTATACACTCCACATATGGAAACTAAGCTGCAAAAGCTGACCGTTTCTGTGATGTCACAAACACCAACACATTTACATATATCCGCCTATTCAGCCTGCAGAAGCCCTGCCCATTTGTACTGATGTTATAAGTAGTGTTTTAATCTGGGCTGCTTTTTGAATGAGGCATGCCAGCCAATCAGAACGCAGATCATTTTTATATCGGTATTAAAGACAGATTAAGGAAAGCAGCCTGTTTAATTCTAAGGGATAAAGAGAGATTGGAAAAATGTAATGTAAAATTGTATTGTGACTGTTTTGTCACATAAAACTACCAAAAATGTAATAAGTGGGAAGAAATTAAATACTAGATGAATGTAGGAAAAGGGTAATTCTCTCTTACTTACTTAAAAAGTAACAGTGAAAATCCAACATTATTAAAAAAAATGTCAAAAGAAGGCAAAATGTTCCCAAATTCTGATGGGCAGCGTATGTCTCAATGTAATTCTTACCGCTGTCCACTTTCGTCTTAATGGGTCCTGAGGAAACAGTTTCGCTAGAATACTGATTGACCTGAATCCCCCTTCTCACTTTCTTCACACAGTTCTGCAAAAGCAAAAATCCAGTTATAGACAAAACGGCTCATATATACATGTTACTGAAAAGTAAATACCCATATCTGAAGTTTTGTAATCTGATAGTCATCAGTTACCACTTGTGCATTTCCTCTTTATACACCTATAATATTCATCTTTTTCCATTCATCCAGAACACAGGCACAAAGTATTCTTTTACTTCACATGGCAGTGCAGCAGGTTCAAATGTCATCAGATTTAGGGGGGGATGGCCTTAGAGGACATCCATGTGTTGAATGCATTTTATGTTTATCACAATCCTGCTGTTTTACACCACAACAATACAATCAATCATGATATATAATATATACATTTTTATGAGCTAATTTTGAGGAGCTTAGATATAAAATAATCCACTTGCATAAGGAAGGAGAAACAGACACAAAAGAATAGATCAAACAGAAAAGCTGCTGGTTCTCAGAACAATGCACTGACTACCCCAGACTCCAGACCACAACATCCCCGAATATGTTTGGGATTGCTTGGATTCTGAAAAGCAGAAAACTGAAAGAAAGCAGAAAACAAAGTTCAGTCTCAGAAGTAACCAACTTCTGAGACTGAACTTTGGAGGCATGGAAAAATATCCCTACCCCCTTCTTTGAAAAACTGAAAGTATGTCTTCTGAAAAGAATGGAAGCTGTTATAAAGGCAAAGAGTGAACACACTAAATACACTAATACACACTAAATACAGTAATTTTTGAAAAGAATAATGGCTGACATATGATTGCTAACACTAAATAAGGTTGCAGTATTCATAATATAGCACTTGTACTTCTTGTATGTGTAAAGTCCACTCCCAACAACATATATCATGAAAGAAAAACAATTCTTGAAAGTGTGCCTTCATATATTTTCTGCTTCTTTCCTGATACTAAGAAAAATGAATAACTTAGCTGGTTGCCTGGAAATTACATAAAAGAAAGGGTGCTCTCTGACTTTTGCCCAGTTCTCTATGCTAATATATCTGAAAACTCTTGAAGCACTGTTTTTGTTGTTGTTTTGCTGTTGACTTTCATATTTATTTAAAGAACCATCTATTGAAAGGTTCCCAAGGGAGCTAGAAGTAAAGACCTTTTTTCTGGCAACTTTATTTTTATGAGTGCAAAGGAGAGAACAACAGCAGGTGTCCATTGTGCAATCAGGAGCCTGACCATGAGAAAACAAAGATATTTATGATCTAGACATTCCCATAACTGTACTTAAAAGCATCTCAAACACAGCTACAACTATTAAAGTATTAGTGCATAAATTATTGCTAGTTGCTTAGATCACACAGTGCACACATCATTGGCTATATGAGCTACTGTGAAGACAATGTGATTAGAATTTCCTATTCTTTTCCTTCAGATTTTTTCAGTCGAGCTACAGATCGAAAATAGATCTTTTGCTTCCAATTTGCCATCAATGTTTTAAAATACAAGCTACTGTTGATGTATTGTGATGCATCAATCTGATGGTGGTGATTCGACTGAATATTACAGTCATATGCAAATATTTGGCTGCTCCTGTTCAAATTATACATTTTGTTGATTTTTGAAGTGAAAATGTAAGAGAACAAACTTCTGCACAATTTAATGCATAATCAATGTTTATTTGCTAAAATGAACATATTGGGAAAAAATAAAATATAAAATAAGGCCTTTGTAAAACCTATGGCACATTTTACACTTGTTTTATTTTATTTTACCTTATGTTTGTTAAATGTAGATGATTTGTTTACTTATTTTCACGTAGAAAATCAACAAAACATGTAATGGTTTTAACCACTTATAAATATGGGCTTGTTTTTGGCCCACAAAAAACTCATACATAAACATATATTTTAAAAACTTGGCATGTTGTTTACAATGTCTATATTCCACTAGTGTGTAAATAGCTTGTCTATTCACATTTGATCATTCACTGTATTTTCAGTATGAAAATAATTCTAAAATATAACAAAATTATTGAGCTGAATTAAATCGCATCAAATCATTCCCTAATTAATCATAATCAAATTGTTTTGTTGTAAAGTCAATTTACACTCCTAAGAGCTAAACTTTCAGGATGTGGATATTTACTGGCTAACAATCATCATCCAATTTTCACCAAAATGAATGTGAGGTGCTTTTAATATCAGGTGTAAATGAAAGATGATACATGTTCAGGTCTTTGAATGTGTCACCCTAAGAAAACTAAGAAAGTCTGAGGGTTGGCCTCATTGTGGTGAGCAGTATAGTTACCGGAAGCATGGAGGAACACATGGAATTCTCACAGAGTCGTGTGATGCAGTGCAGGTAGAAGGTGGAAACGGTCTTGTTCTGGTGCTCTATGAAGCGGAAGGCCTCGAAAGAGAAACGAGCTTCTTGGGATACTCCGTTCAGGTCCACCACTGTCTGCCTATCACGGTTGCACCTACAGTGAAAAGCAGATATTTATACAAATTACCCAATCTTTCAATATGAAAGAAGTTTTTTTTTTTTTAGATTTCCCATGTTTATAATGGACTCACCCAACAAAAAGATCATAGTAAGTGCTGTTTATTGGATTTGGGTTGGTTGTTGCATAGCAGCGATCGAGCAACACATTGAACCTTTCAATACACAAATGTTGAGAAAATAAATGCTTAAATCATCCAATGAATGTTCATTATTGAGAAAAGAACACTTCACAGTGAAAGCAACTGAATGTGGGCCCACACTCCTACTTTATAACTAGTTTAATAGTTGCTGAATAATTTGTGGGAGTTGCTGATTTTAAGATTAATAACTGAATAAGAAGCAGTTTAAATCCCATAAAATATTAGTAAAAACTGTGTAGCTCAACAGGGCAATGAATTTTGTTTAATCAGATATAGATATACCTGTTGGTTAGATTATTTGCCTTGACCTGGACATAAATTCGAGTTTTCAACTGCAGCCCACCGTCTGGTATCTGGAGAGGCTGCGTGTATTCCTGGTTCTGAGGAATAAAAACCAGGAGTTTTAGTTTCTTTATGCTGCCTCGGTCATGTACTGTTTGTCAATCAAGGTTTGAGAATAAGAAGAAGATGCTTACAGTGAAGAGATTCATGCTCAGTGTGCTGATAAAGCTTCCTCTGTTCCCTCTAACAGCCAGACTCATCCTAGACCTGTCAAGATACAATGTAGTTTTTGACAGGACAGCAAGATCAATATGGTGCTTTCAAAGAGCAAGAAAAGCGCAGCATTTGAACTGTACTCACACGCTTACTTCAGTGTTGTTGACCAAATACTGCAGCGGGTAGGGGCAGGAGAACTGATACTGCAGCTCCTGGTAGTAGGTGATGGGATTGCTGCCAGGATCTTGAGAAATGACACTTCCAGAAATGTTGACAAACTGGACTCTGGAAAAAGCAGACAGCTGACCCGTGTCCACTTGGTCTACAATCTAACAGAAAACAAAGACTTGCTTCAGCTTGATTGCTTAAGTGCTTTATTTTCTCCTGTCAAACTCCAAGTGTGAGCTGTTTTACAGAACATAATATTAAGTTTATGTCTCATACCACTAGGGAGTTGCCACAGAGAGACATTGTCTCTTGGAAGATTGATATGTTGAAATTGAGGACAGGGGTGCTGGCTCCAAAATCCGCCATTCCACGGCAGGCTGAAATGTTAAATCTTCCATTGAGGGCTACGAGGGATTCGTTGTAGCCTCCATAGTAGATTGGACAGAGCAGGATGCTGAGATATATGTAATTAGCTCCACATGTCACTGTGATGTCTGAGTTGTCTGGAAGATAAAAGCAATTGCAAATTAACAAGGGCTAATATTATGATCATAAATCATAGTGTATATTACAGTATTACAATTTACAATTCTCCATTCATCAGAGTTATTCCACAGAAGGTCACTGAGGGCCTCAAAGATCATAGGTTTCGATGAAAAATTCAAGCAAAAATGTCTATTTACTCCAAGAAATCATGCAAAATTCCAATTAATATTTTAAAGCTTGCTGCACCAGATTCTAAATTACATCTTCAATATTATGTTTAGCTGATTAGTGAACAACTGAACTGAGCTGAAATATTAAGTGGGTACAAATATGACTATGTACTAAAAATATTTTGTATGTTAAATTAACTGGTTTGATTTAATACAATTCCACAAAAGGTCAGTTTCTCTGAGAATGTACTTTTTATTTCAGAGTGTGAAATATTTATTCTCTGAATTTATGATACTTTAAAAAAAAATAAACCTTACAATGTGGCCTGTTGTGGCACATGTATGTTGCTTGTTTTCTTTTTTCTGATATGTTAAACTCAACTAATAGATTAAACTTGTGCACTGAAATTTGCAGAAACATGTTAACTCATTAACATGTTAACTCATGACTAAAAAAAACACAACAAAACATGTTATTTGACCAATGTGTTCAAAACCTTTGCATACAACTGTCCATATTCAACAGGTGTCCTGTCTAGCTGACCTTCAACATGATCAACATGATCAACAAGCTTCAGTAAAGACCTCAAATGTTCTGAGAATATAAGGAAAGAACACTTGTACATCACCCCAAACCTCACTGACCCCTGCAGCAGAATAAAAATGAAATCGGCTTGAGCCAATGCATTCGAGAGAAGCGTATTGCCTGAGGGTTTGAGGGGAAATGTTGGCTAGAATCCATCCTGGAAACATAAGAGATGATGGACTTTTCACATTTTAAGATCCTCATGGCAAATATACTTTGTTCTAATTATAATAGCATTACAGATGTTTCTTTTTACATTTACATTTCAGTCAACTATACCATGTTGAACAAATAGTTAATATCCTATAGTTTGAGAAAATATAGGATACAAAAGCCATTTGAAATTTCATACATTTTACATAAAAAGTACACTCTGCAATACATTTGCCGGTCGTGGACATTCGTTACCAGAAACTACTTGGTTTAAAATAAAATATTATTCTTAGTGTTGTATTTATATCCAGTTAATATTTCAGTCAGTTCAGTCAGCCTGCAAGAACTCAACATTTAAGATGTGATTTGAAACATGCTGGGACAAAAAATTAGAGCAAAGCTTTGAAATTTTGCAAGGTTGCAAAACTTGAATTCAATCCTTTTGCTTGATTTTTTTCATTGAAGTCCATGACATGACACGCCAGTCCATAGACGAGTTGAGTGGAATAACTGACAACACCATTAAAAAGTAACTGATTTACATTAATATAAACTCAGAGTGAAACAGTCAACACAGTTCAACACTAACCTGCTTGTCTGAAAGTAGAGTGGAGCCTACATGTAATGTAGTCTGTCTGAGCCGAGCAGCAACCGATCAAGGTGATCACACACATGAGCGACATACGCCACATTATCCTAAAAACACAGCAAAATCACCAAAAGCCAACAGCTAATCAAACAGAACCAGACAGATATTATAGCTTCTTCATTGCTCGCATGTTTCTCATGTGTAAAATATACCTTATTGAAACTATTCAAATAGTATTATCAGCAACAGTATTACTATACATGTGAAGTTGTTTTAGAGCAAAAAGATGCATTACCTTGTCAGATGGACAGGCGTTAGTCCTCACCTTCCTCTAAGGCCGATTTCTTTCTCATTCATTGTGCCCTCTATTTATGTGGGCCTCCTTTTGAGGGGAAGGGTGTGAGAAGGAATGTCACAAAGACGAAAGCAACATGAAACCTCCCAGTGATATCCTCTGATGCAGGAACAATTCAGATCGGGCAGAAAAAAAGGTTTTCGAACAAATACTGAATGATTTTTGAAGTTGTAGTGCAAACAATGCAAAAAACTTTAAACCTGTATATGTACCTGTCACAGACCGTGTCCTGTTGAACCTGAGATATTTCACTGATGCCTTTACAAGTCCATTCAATTGCCAGCACTATGATTTCTCCATTCCATTCAGTTCTGTTTGTTCAGATCTTCGTTCTGGCTTGTTTTACTCCTCTTTGCCTGTGTCTCAATCTTGTGGCACCTTCATGGGCACTTTTCCTTTTGTGCAGGACAGGCCTCACACTGCCACGCGATGCAATCCAAACCCACGTTCCTTGCAGATTTTTTGGTTTAAACAGCCCACATCATGGATAACACTCTTTCGAAATAAAAGTTTGATGTAGTATGTAAACATTGTTAAGGTACATATCATTCACGCCACAGTACCCACAACAAAATGTCACAAAAAACAAACACATTTATAGAAAACCAGCCCAATGTTTAACAGCAGTGTCTACTTCACAAAATAAACTGCAATATGGTGTTTTCAGGTAGAACTGCCCTGTCTGGACAACCAATGCAGTGTGTGATGACGTCAGTAACCTTTTATAGCAGTACCTTTGAGACAAATGCTGTTGTTCTGCAGACAGCTGGTGTCAAAGACATCAGCATGGTTTTGCTACCGTTCTTTTGCTCTGGGCACAAATAAAATGGATGCATATTACAAAGTACTCCCTTCATAAAACTCCTGCAAGACCCCTGCAACTATTTTGTGTTGTCATAAAAACATATATTTACCTGCAGCTGGAGCCGAAAGATACAAAGATAGGGGAAAATTCATCTCCACTCTTGCTTCAGATCTGAAAAATCCACAGGTGTGTCTGTCCATCCTTCCACTGTGAGAAGACAACTCAACACTATGAGTCTAAATTTACAGTGTAATATCCGTCCACTCAGCCTCATCAGTTTTAGCCTCGCGTATTCATTCTGAAGTTATATGGAGTGTTTCAACCTGGACTACTTCATGAGTGAGCAGGGTTGGGATGTAATGGAATACAGAAATTAAGTATCCCAAATTCAGTCCAAATTATACTGTGTAAAGGCAATATTCAGAATAAGGTTACTTTTTACATTCTTAAGAGAATATTTTCAGATTACTGACCTACTAAACAACAAAAACATACAATCTTCAGAAGAAATACCATCAGTGCTCGCTAATCAACTCTTTTAAAATCAGCAGATGGCATGTAGCAAACATGCTAATCCTAACAAGGATTGTAAATAACAGCTTCTTTACAAACATAAAGCCTGATAAAGCCTGAGTAGACTTATAAATCAATGTGAGAAAAAAATGCAATCTAAATGTATTCAGAACATGTTACTTTTGTATGTATTGTAATTAAATACATTACTGAATACATTTAGGACAGTGTATTCAGTATTCAGCCATCACTACTTTTCTAAGTATTTAGTCTAACCCTATGAGTGAGGCATAATGCACGGCAGACAATCAGAACAGTGCTCATTTTCATACATAAAAGCACAGAAAAACAACCTCTTTTATTCTAAATGATAAAGAAAAGTTGGAAAAGGGCAACGTAAAAATTAATGATGACTGTTTTTGGTACGTAAGACCACACAAATGTCATACATGGACTTCAGCGGACAAAAATAAAATACAAAATAATGTAGCATATGGGCCCTTTAAGCAAAAAATGTGACATGACTCACTAAGCATGATTCACTGGGCATAGCTATGGAATGAGAGGCTGATATTGTCTGTTAAAGTAGTGAGTAAGAGCAACTGTGAGAGTACTGAACAAAAAGCTTTTCAGACCTTTCAGAAAATAATTCACCTCAGAATCCATTTACTAAGGAATGTATTTAAAGCATCTAGCAGATATTATTCTGTGGGTTTACAGACAGAAAAAACAACCTGCTCACTGACGTTCTCCTAGAAGGTAACTTATAGAAAACCAGCCCAATGTTTAACAGCAGTGTCTACTTCACAAAATAAACTGCAATATGGTGTTTTCAGGTAGAACTGCCCTGTCTGGACACCCAATGCACTGTGTGATGACGTCAGTAACCTTTTATAGCAGTACCTTTGAGACAAATGCTGTTGTTCTGCAGACAGCTGGTGTCAAAGACATCAGCATGGTTTTGCTACCGTTCTTTTGCTCTGGGCACAAATAAAATGGATGCATATTACAAAGTACTCCCTTCATAAAACTCCTGCAAGACCCCTGTAACTATTTTGTGTTGTGTTGTCATAAAAACATATATTTACCTGCAGCTGGAGCCGAAAGATACAAAGATAGGGGAAAATTCATCTCCACTCTTGCTTCAGATCTGAAAAATCCACAGGTGTGTCTGTCCATCCTTCCACTGTGAGAAGACAACTCAACACTATGAGTCTAAAAGGATGCGGAGCTGTCAAAAAGCCCTTACTGAGAACAAAAAATAGACAGAAAAGAAGAACATTTGCATTTCAAACAAAGACACTGCTGGTGTTATTTGAAGAATGGACTGACCACCCCAGAGTCCAGACCTCAGCATCACTGAATGTGTTTGGGATTACTGAGATCATGAGATGCAGATGCATGAGACTGACTGGACTTTAGAGGTATGGAAAAATATCTCTGCAGATTTTTTTGCAAAACTGAAAGCAAGTCTCTACAAATGAATGGAAGCTGTAATAAAGGCCAAGGGGGGAAACGCTAAACACTGACTTTTTTTACAACCCTAATTCCAAAAAATGTTCATCAGCAAAAAATACAACAGTTTAAAAATAATGTTCCTCAACAGGGATTGCAAGGATTTTAGGTATTTCACCATCTACAGTGCATAATATCATCAAAACATTCGGAATCTGGAGAAAACAAAAGGAAAAGGCCAAAAACCACAAATGACCACAAATGGATATCCTGGCATGGGCTCGGGAATACTTTGAAAAATGTGTTGCAGGCGTCAAAGTTGGAATAAGTATATAGTTAGAAAAAACAAAAATGTTCATAAGGTAAAACATGAAATATTGTGTATTGTGAAACATGAAATATTCTGTATTGTGTTTAATTTAATGCAGGTCAAAAAGAATTTACTAATTGCTGCTTACAGTTTTTAATAGCATTTCCCATACTGTCCCAACTTTTTTGGAATTGGGTCTGCATATTCTGTTTAGTTGTTGAGGTTTCCACTTTTTTCCTGATGCGTAATGCCTGATTTGACTGGAAATTAAATAAATGAAGGATGCTCCCTGACTTTTGCACAGTACTGATGCCCCATCTGATCGACCATAGATTTTGCAGAATCATGCCAACCATTATATGCTATTCCTTAGTTGACGTTCAGCAGCATATTAATGATTGCAATACTGAGATATAGCAGGAAAGATACTTGTTTTCATGCTTAAATTCCACTCAAGCAAACCAGAAATATAAGAGCTATTATCTACAATTGCATATACCTTTTTTTATTCAAAAGGCTGTTTTTCACAATATCAGGTCTCAGCAGACATGGGCTCCACAGCTACTATGTGCTGTCTGGCCCTAAGGGTGTGTGTTTTCTGACTCACTTTCCTTTATGAGTGAATTCATCACACCCACCATACAATGCATGCATCCCTTTTGTGAGCGAGTGGGCCTTTCCCTGGATATACTTTCCAATCCCCCTTGGGATACTGAAGGTATCGTGGTTTGGTTTCAGTGTGTGGTGGCTGGCGGTATGACATTGATGAGCATGCCGTCGTGTCTTTGCAGTGAGATCCTTGTCCTTCTTCAACTTTCATATTCAATCTCACTGATGCCCCTTGTGGCCAGCTGAACTTGCAGAGGAGACCATCCCGTACAGGTGAAAAGGAAACAGTCCTTAACGTACAAAAGTATCCAGACAGCCCTTCTAAGTAGTGAATTAAGCTACTTTAAGGTGAACTTACTGCTGACACAGATGTTCAGCTGCACACACAGCTTGTATAACCTCTATAGAAAAGCATGACCAATAGAATGGGACTCTCTGGAGTAGCCACACGAGCCTAAGGCAGCGGTGTCCAATTTTATCCACAAGGGGCCAGTGTGGCTGCAGTTTTTCATTCCAACAAAGCAGGAGCACACAGCATCAATTGTTCAAAGACAGGGACTAATTGAATAAACAAGTGGAATCAAGTGATTAGAATAAAAACCTGCAGCCAAACCAGCTCTTTGTGGATAAGATTGGACACACCTGGCCTTAAATCACCTTGCTCAATGCCAGGCTAGAATGGTGTAAAGCCCTCCAGCATAGGGCTTTGAAGCAGTGAAACAGTACTCTTTGAAGTGATTGAGCACCATCCATTTCCTTTGGGATGAGTAGGAGTGATCAAGAACTAATCATCCAACATCAGTACCTGACCTCACTAATACTTTTGTGGCTGAATCCTTATAGCAATGTTCCAACACTTAATGTAAAGCCTTCCAGAAGAGCAAAGGCTGTTACTACAGCAAAATGGGGGACAAACTCCCTATTAATACCGTTCATTTCCAAAGAAACGTCGATGAGCAGGTGTCAAACATTTGCGCATCCTCTTCAGTTCTTAAAGACTGGGGTTCAAAAAGTAAAGATGCTTAATTTTTCATGTAGCCCCATCCTAAAAAGTACAGAGGTTCTCAGTTAAATGTTTGCAATGTAAACATTAAGTACGCAAACATATTTTGAGCCTCCACATAGAGTTCTGAATAAAACTGTATAAAAATGCAAGTCTTGAACACAAACTGACTGTGCAGTCTGTAAGTATTCCAGCACAGAACTTGAAATTTAACAACTACTACAAGATTAAAGTACAGAATATAGATATTTACATAAACATTCCTTTGTGAACCACAAAGGAATCACAGCCCTTTTAATACGACAATGCCTTATTTTAGGGGACCATAAATAAATAGACAAATCAGCATAATTGTAAATAAATACTTGCTGAGAATCTTAACTGATGACACGTTATATGCCATTCCATGTTAGAGGAAACTTCATCTGTCCCGTTTTCCTGAAAGTAGTGTATTTTATTTATAAATGTTGTCTTTCATTTTCTTTTTCTCACTCCGTATATGAAGAGAATAACTCACAGCTTTCATTTGTAATTTCTCACACCTGATTTGTGTAGCTGTTGCTGTACTGTGATTCTACGCAGTTCTTTCCTCACCTAAACAAACTACAAGAAGGGTGTGAATTTTTTCCCAGCCTGTATCCTAATCTAACCTCTGCGAAGGCCGAGCCCCAAGTGTCCAGATTGCTGAAGCAATAAATCGCATGGTGAATGTGAGAGGTCCCTAGTGCACTCATTTTTTCATGCAGGATCCTATTTTGTTCATCCCTTCTGTAATAATATCAAACTCTTCATTCGTCATGAAGCCTTAGACAGATTTATGACAAGTCAACAATACAAAGCTTAAGTAATTTCATGTTATCATTAGATAACGTAGGAAGATTAATGTCCTTAAGGAGTGTTTAGCCTGATTATGCGTAAAGTACAACCTGTAATTTCCTTCAACAAAATGGTGTCTATTTCATTTATTTTTCTATAAAGTTCAGTCGAGGTGTGGTACCACTCACACTGCGAAGAACCTGATGAAACATGTCTTGAGTCTTGGCAAGTGAGACTTTTTTACTCAGAGCTCTAGGAGATGTACACAGAACTGTTTTAAACACCAGACTGAACATATGAAAAGCAGGCACACACATGGCTTCAAACTAAGGAACCAGACTTTCACGCCCCCCTCAGTCCCCAGTCTTTAAGTTTGTCTCTAGAGACTATTGGGGTACCTTTGTAGGAGGAGAGTAGACATGTTTACTACAGATGCTGTCAATTTAAAAGTTTTTATTTTGGCCAGAGTGCCCCTTAAAGACAAATTCGCGATATTTATCGTACATCTGTTGGGTGCTGTTAAACTTTTGGAGATGTTTTCGAGGATGGTTTGTAACATCTTATTATCAGAATATTAGCTAGCTAACTTAGTTAATGTTTTTAGCCGTACTGTGGCCTTTGCTATGGAAGCTGTGAGGGGAAAGTCACTACAATACACAACAATTTTTTCACTAAATAGAAAATAAACGTCTCCCGCTAATGTTATGGTCTTGTTTTTAGCATAGTTTCTAACTCTTCATGGACATTTTTTGGTAATGGTAACCTACCTGGCTAGCAAAGTCCGACTCGTACATATTTTCAGTAATCGAACTATGACCGTGTTGTACGCGCTCAGCATGGTTCACAACTTCAGCTGTCTTATAAAATTGTGAAGCACCACATTATCAAGGTCAATTTCTGTGTATTCGCTCACATTTCTCTCTCTGAAGGCTGCATCTGCCTTTCTCTTTCTCTTATGTGTTTGTGAACTGGGAATTTTGATCGATTGATTCTTTGAAACGGACAGAAACAATCGGTTCGGTAAGTGATTGGAACTTGCAGGCTCTGCGCCCTAATGGCACGTACGGAGTTCAAAGAATCGGTTGGCTAAACTGAACCGAACTTAACATCGCTATTAAAGGGGAACTCCACCGTTTTTTTTTAATTCTACATACTTAGATTTTTAATAACATCATTTAAATGGCTGAAATGTAAACAAAGCCATATGTGAAATGCTCCGTTTAAGAGAAACCCGCTGAACTTTAATGCCACTGAAAGCTCCCTCACAGAAAGTTACTACACAAAATGATCAGGAATACCCTACCTGATGTCCCCAAAGCAAACTTACTTTTTCAGAATTTCCTGTTTTGCCATCAACATTACATATAAAACTCAGTAAACACATTTAGGTTCAGTTGTGTTTTTGAGTAGTAAATAAAATGGCTATATTTGTGCCATGGACATTGCGACCCCTGGCTCTTATCACCACTACTGTAAGGAAATCTGAGTCTGTAAGTTTCTGAACAATGAACCATTTCACTCTGAATGATTTTGTTTACATCTCAAGGGCTGGATTATTCAGAAATTTTGAAAATTGGTGGGATTCCCCTTTAAGTGTGAGTGAGCAAAGATCCTTCTAGTTAAAACTCCTTCTTTCTTCTTTTTTTTTCTGCCCGTTGTTGTGACTGTAGCGCGGTGCTCCTCCCGAATCGGCTCGCGTTTTTTCATTGGCCTTCGCGGCAGGCGTGCGGCGTGTGATTGGCCGAGTCTTCCGCTCCGTGTTCTGGACGGTTCTGCGGGCGTCTTTAAGGAGCCGCGGGAGAGAGATGCTGCTGCAGCCCGCAGGACCCTGACAGACTCGCGGAGAAGGGCCCAGAATCCCACATATCAGCTGATACAGAGCCGAAAGTCAGAGTATTGTCAGGTAAGAAGAGCTGTAACGTTAATTAAGTTCGAGAGAGAGTCTGACACGTTCAAAAAAACAAAAACAGACCACCTGCACAGTTTTATAGTTTTGGTCAAATAGCTTGATGGAGTGTTGAAATGGAATGTGGAATTCCGTCGGAAAGTTCTAGAATGCAAATCGTTCCGTGCCTTGAGTTCCTGGTCGTGTTCAACTCGCGGCAACGAATTTGCCGAAATGCTCGGAATGTTCTGGCAGGCTTGTACGATTGTGACGAAAGGAAAACAGCCCATACAAGGCAACTCCCCGCTCCTCTTATGTAATGTTTCGGAAACCATTCGGGTCGTTATCGGCATTAAAGGAGAACCCGACCGATTTTCCTAAATTCTACATAATTACATGGTTGAGATGTAAACCCAATCATTTAGATTGGTTTGACGTGAAAAGCTCCGCTCTAGAGAAAAGAACTTGCCGAGTCAGAAGGGTTCACAGCGGTGGTGATAGGAACCAGACGTCTGAAGAGTTCAGTGCCTCTGAAAGCTCCCTCACTGAAAGTTATTACATTAAATGGTTGAGTATACGCTGCCTGATTTGTGAGACATTGTTTTATGATAAAGTTTTGCTTAAAATGTGTTTTAATCCATTTATTTTTGTTGTAAGGCAAAATAGTCCCCAAAGAAATTTACTTTTTCAGATTTCATGAATATTTTGCCATCATCAGCACCACATATAAAAACTAAGAAGACACTTGTAGGCCCGCTGGTGGTTTTGGGTCATAAATAAAATGGCTATATTTGTGTTGTAGACACCCCTGGTTCCTATCACCACCACTGTAAAGAAATCTCCACAACAGTGGTTTCCAACACTGGTCCCGCCGAGCTGCCTTCCTGCAGAGTTTAGTTCCAGCCTGTATCCAGTAAGCTGTCCCACCCTTTACTTAAATACTTCTGATACAGCCAAGCAGGGACTTGGGAAGAGAATGATTAGCTGGAGCAGGTGTGGCACATTGTCGTTGCTCTTCAGGAAAGTACCTCTCCAGGACCAGGGTTAGAGGCCCCTGCTCTACAATGAACCACTTCACAACAAACCACAGATTGTCTCTGTTTACGTCTCAAGGACTGATTTATTTAGAATTTTTGAAAATTGGTGGAATTCCCCTTTAACAGTTGTGATGGATGAGCTGCTTCCTAAACTCATTTAACTTGAGCACCGTCATCGGGTATTTATTAAATGAACCTGAGATAACTGTTGTGAGCGCTGCCTCCACTAAAATATCAATATATTTTTCCATTAAAGGGGTAAAATACTTTTTCACTATAATTCAGTCATTGAGATGTAAAATCATTCAGAATGGTTGGATGTGAAATAATTCACAGTAGAAATATTTACTGACTCAAATTTCTTTACAGTGGTGGTGACCTTGTAATAACCAGAGGTCACGATGTCTACAGTGCAAATACACCCATTTTTTTACTATCCAAAATGACCAGTGAACCTACATGTGTCTTCTGACTTTTGATATGTAATACTGATCATGGTAAAATGGTGATAAATATGAAAAAGTAAGTTTTCTTTGGGTACTGTTTTGGCTTGCATGTAACATCACCTCAATAAATGTATGCTTTAGACCAAAACTTTGTCCATACCATCATAAACCAAAGTCTCAGGCATCATTCTGTAACATGGCTTTAAGAAGTATGAACACTTTGAACGTCTGGGTTCCATCACATATACGTATCCATACACTATACATTTCAAACCACTCCAAATAACTATGCTAACTATGTTAACCATGTAATTATGCAGAAATGTTTAGTATTTAGTAGAATTCCCCTGTTAATGGGAGCTGTGTCGTGTTGTACGTCATTCCCCATAAGTTTGTACATATCAAAGCATCTTTATGCAGTAAAGACAGCTGGTCTGTTAAGAGGCTGTATGAACAGGTGCTGGTTCAGTGCAAGTAAAATGAGTCCAGCTGACGTGTAGTGAGTGGAAAAATGGACTAGTGGCTTAGTAACCTGTCATCACACGATCAGGAATAGACTGTGAGGATAATGCAGCTCTCTTGGGATTAAAAGAGAAAGCATGGTAAAGTAAAGATGGCACAAAACAGAGAAAGAAACCAGTGTCACCACCAAGTGATGCTAACCTGGTTACTCAGTCTACTGTATATTTGCAGGCAGCAGAAACCATGTCAAAGGGACCAGCAGTTGGCATTGACCTCGGGACCACCTACTCATGTGTAGGCGTCTTTCAGCATGGCAAAGTTGAAATCATTGCCAATGACCAGGGCAACCGCACCACACCCAGTTACGTCGCCTTCACAGATACAGAGAGGCTGATTGGAGATGCTGCAAAAAATCAAGTCGCCCTGAACCCCAACAACACAGTGTTTGGTAAGCCTCATGTCAGCCTCTAAAAGCAGCTGACTGTTTCTTTTTTAGCCAAGCTGGATTAATTCCTCTTCCTGCATTTCGTGTATAGATGCAAAGAGACTGATTGGACGGCGATTTGACGATCAAGTTGTCCAGGCAGACATGAAACACTGGCCGTTCACAGTAATCAATGACTCCTCACGGCCTAAAGTTCAAGTTGAATACAAAGGCGAGACCAAGGCATTTTATCCTGAGGAGATCTCCTCAATGGTGCTTGTGAAGATGAAAGAAATTGCGGAGGCTTACCTTGGAAAGGTGAGAATTGTTTATTAGAATTGTTGATAATATAAACATCAAGCATTAGTTGAGTTCTGTGCTTATTTGTGTTTTTTAATGCTCATGATCTCCTGTACTGAAAATGTTATGTGCTAAAGCACAGCTGAAGTTCAGCTGAATGTTTGTAGTGTAAATAAAACCTTCACCTCTGTTAATGCGCTCAGTTAAAAAGCTTTAGGTAATACAGTGAATTCAACAACACTGTATTCTTCATTTTACATTATTTTCCCTGTAGACTGTCACAAATGCAGTTATTACAGTACCTGCATACTTCAATGACTCTCAGCGTCAGGCTACAAAGGATGCAGGGACCATTTCTGGACTAAATGTTCTGCGAATCATCAACGAACCAACTGCAGCTGCTATTGCCTATGGCCTGGACAAGAAAGTGAGTGTGGTGTCAATTGCATAACTGTGGTAATAGAAAATAAATTGTAGGTACATTCAAATTACAAAAAGAAATAAATACAAAATACATATGAATCATATCCAAGATATACAAAATGAAATACAAACAAAATACACAAATCCAAAATACACATATCATTGCTATGCCAAGTTTTGGTTGGAAACAAAAGTATAACATTCCTGAAACGCCAAACAGGAAATATAATCAGGTAGTTTTACTCTGTGGTATCTAAATAGATACAGGCAAGTGAGCTCTCCCATTGGTTAGAACTTCAGGAGCTGAACTGAAGGCCTAAGATGTCAGATTAACCACTAATAAAATTAGGAACTGACATTGGAGTTAACCAGTCATGTTTTGACTTACAATGGGTGGAACAAATTTTGTGAGAAAAACATCACTCCAGGTCTTGGGAAGAACTAGATACATCACTGAGTGTGAGTATCAGGGGCAACACAGAGCTTGAGATCAAAGTTAGACCAGTTAAAAGCAGCCAAACACCCATGACAACGCAACCATAACTAACTTGTGTGCTGGGACACTACATCTAGCATTCAAACCTAAAGCCATAAAAAGTGCATATTCTGTTATCTTTATAGCAAATAATCCAAATGCAAATCACAGTCACAATATGGTAAAGAAAAACTGCAATTAGGTATTTTGCCCTTGTCCTTCAGCCCTAGTATCTATCATTTTCAAAATTCTGTTAAGAATGTACAAAATGCTGTTATGGGGTTATGTGTGATATATGTAGTGATACATGCATTCTCAGTTACAGTGTTTATTGTTTCCTTCGCAGTTGGGTTCAGAGAGAAACGTGCTGATTTTTGATCTTGGTGGTGGCACTTTTGATGTGTCCATCCTTACAATTGAGGATGGCATCTTTGAGGTCAAGTCCACTGCTGGAGACACTCACCTGGGCGGTGAAGACTTCGACAACCGCATGGTCAATCACTTCATCTCTGAGTTCAAGCGCAAGTACAAGAAAGACATCAGCGACAACAAGAGGGCAGTGCGTCGTCTGCGGACAGCCTGCGAGCGGGCCAAGCGCACCCTCTCCTCCAGCACTCAGGCCAGCATTGAGATCGACTCACTCTACGAGGGCGTTGACTTCTATACCTCCATCACCAGGGCTCGCTTCGAGGAGCTGAACGCTGACCTGTTCCGGGGAACCCTGGACCCAGTTGAGAAGTCTCTCCGTGATGCCAAGCTGGACAAGTCCCAGATCCATGACATTGTCTTGGTTGGAGGTTCTACCCGCATCCCTAAAATCCAGAAGCTGTTGCAAGACTTCTTCAATGGAAAAGAGCTCAACAAGAGCATAAATCCTGATGAGGCTGTTGCGTATGGCGCAGGTCATTTGAATGATCATTTTGCTGATTCATATCTTAAGTTTTGCATAGCAGATGAATTACTTGTTTTTTTGCTCCACAGCTGTCCAGGCAGCCATTTTGGCAGGAGATAAGTCTGAAAACGTGCAGGACCTGCTACTGTTGGATGTCACTCCTTTGTCCCTTGGTATCGAGACAGCTGGTGGAGTCATGACCACCCTGATCAAACGCAACACTACCATCCCAACCAAACAAACGCAGACGTTCACCACTTACTCAGATAATCAGCCTGGTGTGCTCATTCAGGTGAGAATGATGTTTCATACATTCGGGCCTGTGAGTTAGAGGATTATCTAATGAAGTTGGCTCCTTTTATATCACAATGTGAAGTGAACATTTGTCCAAAAAAAAAGTACACAATACCCTGACCCTTAAATGTAGCCAAGACACCAGCTAAGACTTGTTTATTGTGTCCAGAGTTTTATTCTGTATTGTTAGGCAACATCAAGAAGTCATTAGATGATAATACACTGCAAATATCTGTTTACAGTAATTCCTTGATACGTCACCTGCCTCAATATTTGATCACTATGTTTCAAAGTTATTCTGGGTGTTAATTCTGTTGTAACTGTTTTACAGCTTTCTCAGTCATTAAGGAATCTTTGGTCTGTTCATCGTTTTGGACACGTATTTTGGAAACATGTATTAGCAACAAAAAGGTTTTATACTACTGAAAAAAAGTGATAGCAGACTTTTGAATGGCATCATATATTTTGTCCACCTGATTCAGAAAATTGAAAATTGTGTAAATTAAAATTTTCACCAAATGATGAATTCTATACGTTAGGTTTATACCTAACTGTCGTCTTTCAGGTGTATGAGGGTGAGAGGGCCATGACTAAGGACAACAACCTGCTTGGGAAGTTTGAGTTAACAGGCATTCCTCCTGCACCCCGTGGCGTTCCTCAGATTGAAGTTACCTTTGACATTGATGCTAATGGTATCATGAATGTCTCTGCAGTAGACAAAAGCACTGGCAAGGAGAACAAAATCACCATCACTAATGACAAAGGTAGAACAGAACTGTCATGAGTTTATACAGCTTATGAATACTTTTACTTACAACAAGAGTTCCAAATGTTCATTGATGTCTGTTTCATTTTCAGGTCGTCTCAGCAAGGAGGAAATCGAACGAATGGTCCAGGAGGCTGAGAAGTACAAGGCTGAGGACGATATCCAGCGAGACAAAGTGGCCGCCAAGAATGGCCTTGAGTCATATGCTTTTAACATGAAGTCCACGGTTGAGGATGAGAAATTGAAAGGCAAGATCAGCGATGAGGATAAGCAGAAGATCCTGGATAAATGCAATGAGGTCATCAACTGGCTGGACAAGAACCAGGTACATGCTTTTAGGTTTCACTATTACACAGTGAAATTGAAGGCAACAGAGCGCACTCCATTTTCATGAGTCATTGATAAATTAGGCCGCTGTGTTGATACTTCACTATGTGCAAAAGTGTCCAGATAGCCCTTCTAATTAGTGAGTTTGTCTACTTTAAGGTGCGCCCATTGCAAAGAGTTGTTCAGTTGCATGTATACAGCTTTTAAAATCTCCATAGAAAAGTATTGCCAAAGAATGTGACACTCTGGAGCAGTCACACATGAGCCTAAGGTTACCCTGCCCAGTGCCAGCCTTTGGCTGGAGGGGTATAAAGCCCCCCTGTGGTGGGCTGTGGAGCAGTGGAACTGAGTTTTCTGGAGTGAAGGAGCTCCACCCAATACCTTTGGGATAAGGTAGTGATGAAGAATGAATCATCCAACATCAGAACCTGACCTCGCAAATCCTCTTGTGGTTGAGTGTATTCAGATCCTCACAGAAATGTCCCATCACCTAGTGGGAAGTCTTTCCCAGAAGAGCAAAGGAGGAGGGAATAATCTTAATATTAATATGCATCATTTCAGAAGAAGCGCTGAATGAGCAAGTGTCTACAACTTATGGACATATAGTGTATACCCAGCTCCAAAATGTCAATGTTTTATGTGCTGCAAATGTAATCTTCATATCAGTAGATGCATTTTCTCAGCTTTTAGTTTGATCAGTGGTTTCAAAATATTTGCAAAACTCTGTAATTGTTAAATCTGTTTGATCTTTATCAAAGACGTAGCTCAAAGGAAGTTACATTTTAGAGAATCACTTACCTTTGGTCCCCATTAGGCCCTGAATCTGATTAACTAAAGCAGAGATGTATCGCTGCTGGCACATTGCAGTCACATTGCAATATATTCAAGAAAGAATATTATTCTTGAAAGAATAATTTTATTTTTTATTTTTATTTGTTGGATCCTTACATGAGTGTGATTGTTTTGGTTCATCCAAACTCCCATAACACTTATGTGGAATGCACAGTACAAGTACTGTGGCCTTTCTGTGGCCCTGTATTGATTTTTTGTTGTTCTTATTGTGTTTGTGCAGACTGCTGAGAAAGACGAGTTTGAGCACCAGCAGAAGGAGCTGGAGAAGGTATGTAACCCCATCATCACCAAGCTGTACCAGAGTGCAGGGGGCATGCCGGGTGGGATGCCAGAGGGAATGCCGGGAGGATTCCCGGGGGCTGGAGCTGCACCTGGAGGAGGATCTTCTGGACCAACCATTGAGGAAGTCGACTAAACTGTCCTTAGATGTTTTCTACTGGTTCTATGGTGCACAGTTGTTCTTCTTTGGTGGCATGTTTCTAAACTTGTAATCTATCTGACCTTTACTTGTGACTTCACTTGTGAGGTAATGACTTACTGTAAAGTAACAGGAGTTGTGACTCATTGACATTTATCAGTTCTCTGACTGTTAGAAAAGCATGTTTACACAATGATGTTACTGAGTGTGACAGCTAGTGCTTCATTTCTCTCACCCTCTTTTGTTCAGTCTTTAGAATATACACATCTCAAATCTCTGGGTATATGCAAGTTGTACACTCTGCTCTTTACAATGAACAAGCAGTTCTCTCAGTATGTTGTATTTGATTGAATTTTGTACGTTCTCATAATTGAGGCTTTAGTTGCCGCTGTTTAAGAAACTCACAATGCATGTTTATACATTGTGTAGTAACACAGCTTGGCCTACATACTCTCAAGAAAAATTGCTTTATTGTGAAATAAAGATGAGGAAAATGAAGGAGCACTTGGTTTATTTATCTTCAGTCTTTTATTCTTCGATATTCAGGATTGTGAGGTAAACAAATGACAGTTTTAAAATGGAAGGACCTGGTGGTGACATGGTGGTTCACATTCAGACTGAATGATGGTAGAAGTGGGTTGAGATGCCTCAGCGGGACATGGGGCCTCTGGGTCCATGCATACGGTAAGCGCACATGTAGAATATACCTACAGAGGGACAAAAAGGATCAAGCAACAACTTAATGGTTTGGTTATGTCTACTTATTTCAGAAACTATTATTAAGTACATCTATGTACCCACCATAATTTTATGTTTTTCAGGAAGGTTTTAGAAATGTACTGTACCTGAAAAAAAGGTGAGCACCACCGAGACCCAACCCATTATATAAGACCAGGAGAACCTCCAGCTTCCATATCGTTTCCCGTAGTAGTTCACAGTCACCCCGGTGTATACAGCCATGGCCAGCAGCACGAAGAAGCCTGAGCAGGAGGTACAAGGGGTCACAAAGCTAACAGGCAAAAAAGACCCAACGTGCGATCTAAAAGTTTCATTTAATACTAAATATTGTGAGCCAGTAGAAGTACTTATGTAGATTAAGAACTGAGTAAAAGCCCTGAATGTGTCAGTGTTAACTACACTGACTCATGCTTGGCACTGAAAATGACACTCACATGAAATGAAATACAGAATTCCAGCAGCGAATGTTTTGTCAAATCCGCCAAACGAGGAGTAATTGATGAAAGCCATGACACCTATGATTAGGCCAAAGAAGCAGGCCAAGATGGCCAGGATCATGAAGGCACGGGTGGCGTCCCAGTAAGCTGTTGGAATTTACAAAGGAAGATGAATCAGGATCATAGGTACAGTACAGTTACCAAGTGTGTTGTATTTGTACTGTGTCTAGTCTCTCAATCAAGTTACTCTATTGATCTATGAGTAAGATACACATTTTCCTGCTCTCACCAATGCTGTCTGTGTGTGTCATGCATTTTCCAGGCATACAGTAGCGCCACAGGCCCTGGTGCATGAAACCGCTTGACTGGCGATACTGCATCCAGTAGTCAGTGGCTGTGGAGACCACCAGGAGTATGTTGCCTACTCCAGCACAGAATAATCCACCTCCCATAAAGCTGTACATCCTGGATCTACAAGCTCACTGACAGAAAATATCAATGTAGCAAATGAGCAAATAGTATTCTGTCATGTTTCATTCTGCTGTAGGTCAATTAATTCAATGAAAAAGAAGCTCTAAGAATATACACAGTATTCAAAAGGGTTAGTTTTAACCTTTTTAAGCCCACTGACAAATAAAGCTGCCACAGTTTATACCAATGTTTTTTTAAATAACAATCTGCAGTGTTGTATTGCTTTTTAAAGAGAGTTTTGAAAGATTCACACTTGACTTCCATAGTTTAACACAGAAATGTTGAGCCTGATTAAATGAGGCACAAATGCATTAAAAGACTTGACTACCACGGATCTGCTAAAATTTGCCTGTGATCTTCAGGAGTTTTCCAGCTGTTGGTGCTCTCGGCTTGCTCATTACGGCCTTGAGATCAGATTTGCTTTTTTTGCTTATAGATATGTTGTTAAAAATGCTGTACAAATAAAAGTAAACTGAACTGAAACAAACATTTCTATAGGGTTTCTTGAATATTTAATTTGAAAAGATACAATTAGCTTCTTTGGGAAAAGACAAATACATTTTTGCTATTACATAATTGTAATTGTGCTTTTACTGGGTTACATCTGTGCCTTAGAAATGTAGTTCATGTAAGTTTAGACCTGTCTATGTTCAGCAGGTGTCAAACATCACTACAAGGAGAGATTTGACCATTATTGACTACATCTTTCAAACACTTAAAACCTAAATTAAAAGCATAAACAGTAGGACAAAATGACAACCTACCTTTATTTACCCCCTTATAAAGTTTTCTCCTTTTTTCTTCCAATTGAATACTTTGAAGCTCAATTATGCCAAGGCAGACAGATTTCCTTCGGCTATTGGCAGATATTTTTTGCCCGTGCACGGGACCCAGGGATGACGGCGCGGGGGGACAATAGGGCCAGCAGAGCAGCAGCCAATCAGAGCGGCTGACCGTGCGCTTAAGAGAATCTGCTGAAAATACAAAACTATTTAGCACTAGCTAAATAGTGCAGCACTAATACTGATGACAAAGTACTTTCAATTGACAATTTAGAAACACTGCAGATAAATAAAATCATTTTGCCCTTTTATTTTTTACATCTTTTTCCAGTGAAGTTATGAATTCAGGTGACTGTAACAAATAAAGCTGATATTTTAAACAAGTTTAAATAAATGCAAATTTTAAGAAAAAATTATACCCTTTTTTTTCGCAACTCTCAGCATCAAACTTGACCAAATTGGAACACTATAATTTATGAAAATAGCCAGAAGGACTTAAATCACTTCTAAAAGGTGATAGATTTTAACATTTGGTGACTAAAGGTCAATGAAACTGAGAAGCTCTGGTGACTAAACTCAGTGACATTTCAATACAATGGCAGGACTGCCAAAGCAAGGAATGACCGAGCAATTTGTTTTCATATTATATTATTCCAATCATGTTAAATGGCTAAAAATGAAACAGTAAAGAGTCAGTACAGAACAGAAAGCAACTGCAGAAATTACATGAAGGGAGTGATGTGGAAATGTAAAGAAAAAATGTTGAACAATATCTGGTCATTATGTGTGTGAATAATGGGCTGCTCTATATAGAAAATTCCACTAATGTACTTCTACACTGAAAAGGCTGAATCGGTGCGACTGGTATAATCAAGGCTCATGTAGAAGGACATGTGCCTTTCACATATAATGCTAGCTCTTGCTAACTCACTATTATCAAGGCTCATGTGAAAGAACATGTTCTATTCATGTCCAGTGTTAACTCACTGGAATTGTCAAGGCTCAATGTAGAAGTATATATATATTATTATCCATTCATAATTCTAACTCTTGCTACATCCTCACTGGTATAAACAAGGCTCATGTGGAAGGTTATGTTCCATCCACTAACGCTAAATCACTGGTATTATAAAGACCAGCATGGAAGGACATGCTCCTTTCACATACAATGCTAACTGTTGCTAACTCACTGGTATAGTCAAGGCTCGTGTGGAAGGTTGTGTTTCATCCACTAATGCTAACTCACTGGCATTATAAAGGCCCACATGTGAGGACATGCTCCTTTCACATGTAATGCTAACTCTTGCTAACTCATTGTTTTTTATTAAAGAGGAACTCCACTAATTTTTACTAATAATTAGATATTAGATAATAATCCACTAATAATTAGATGGTTGAGATGTAAACAAAGTCATTCAGAGTAGTTTCATGGGAAACGCTCCGTTCTAGAGAAAGTTGGCGAGTCAGAATTGTTCACAGTGGTGGTGATAGGAACCAGACGTCTGAAGAGTTTAATGCTTCTGAAAGCTCCCTCACAGAAAAGTTACTACAAAAAATGGTTAGATTTACGCTGCCTGATATCTGAAACATTGTCTTATAGTTTTGTGATTCAATTTTACTGTAAAATGTATTCTGATCCAATAATTTTAATCCATTAATGGTGTAAGGGTACATGCAAATAGTCCCTAAAGAAAAAAAGTCCCTTTTTTCAGATTCAACACTATTTCATCATCATCAACATTTCATATAAAAAACTCAGAAGGCAGGTGTAGGTTCACTGGTGGTTTTGGGTAGTAAATAAAATGGCTTTATTCGTGTTTTAGACATTGTGGCCCTGGTTTCTATCACCACCATTGTAAGGAAATCAGAGTCTGTACGTTTCTGTACAGTGAACCATTTCTCTGACTCTGTTTACATCTTAAGGACTGAATTATTCAGAAATTTTGAAAAAGTAGTGGAATGCCCCTTTAGAACTCATTTACAAGAACATGTCCCATTCACATATAATGCTTTTGATGATATCCAGGTTTATAGGATTCAACTATAAACGATAATAATGCTCACTGCCATAAGTGTCTGCTCTCTTTATCTTCATCTGCTTCCTCATCTTCATCTCCCTCCTCAGTCTAGACCTCAGTGAACTCTGTGGCTGATTTTTTTTCTCAGACGGTATTATGGCAGTTCTAAATAGTGCACAAATGTCCTTGAAAAAAACAAAGTGAACATATCATTTATTTAAAACTACATACTATCAATTTATTAAAAACTACATTTATTAAGTTTTTTTTTAAGTACGAGGCCTGAAAAATGTTTTCATTAACATGTGGTTATTTTTTACTACCAGTAGAGGGAGCCAGGTATCTGCACATTGGCCAAACGTTGGAAGAGCAGTTTTGTGAACAAGGATAGAAGTCCCTATGTATATAAGATCCTCATATCAAAGTTATATCACAGTGCTGTTACATCTAATAGTGTCATGTATGTTGTAACTATCATAACACCAACAGTATTTTCATGTTATTTTAGGTCTAATATGAGGGGCAGCAAAAGCCATTATATTCATGACAAGCTTTGCTAGCACATTTCTCAGCTTTATGTTATCACTGTCATCCAAGCAGAGCAGAAAGAGAAGGAGGAACTGTACTCCTCAGCAGTTTTTTATAATGAACGTCAGAAGAAACAGAGAGCTACTTCAAAACATTTCCAGAAGTACTTCAAACATTCAACAGCTCCCACACATTTCCAGTGAAATGGGACACATTCCTTAGATCTTTACCTCTGCTTTTGAAGAAGAAGAACAGTGAATAAAAAGGTGCCATAAGGACACAGTCAACTGAGCACAATCACTTCACTTTGAGACAATGCGCCCTACACTGGCGGCCTTGTGAGGACTGTGAGAGTGGGAGGGCGCCACTGGTGTCTGGTGATTCTGTCTATACTGGAGATATTGTGTGAAGAACTGGCCGTCATTGTCAGACTGAACACTTGCCGAAGGTTTTTGAAAGAGTTACCCTGGTACACTGGTAATATGGACATCATCTGATAATCATAATAGTCTTTGTCACATAGGCCTGCACAATACTATACTAAGCTATGCGCCCAGTCAATGCTGGCAATACTGTAATGAATGACTGGGATCCATGGCAAAAGGGCGCTCTAAAATATCTGCTGTTATACCTTCTGTACAGTGAAAGAGTTTTAAGAGCCAACTAGCTTTTGTTTAGAAATGCATGCACCTTCTGCTCCAGAGGGCAGTTCAGGACAATACATAGCCGTACCATCAGTCAGTCACAAGGCCACAAATCACTGTTGTTAAAAAAAATAGCTTGATGAAAAAGAAAATTACACCTTTTCCCTTCATGCTAAATGTAACAATAAGCCAGTTAAGCAAGTAAACATTCATTTGTATAGCACTTTCCAAGACACTAGAAAGTGCTTCACCACAATAAAATAAAAATAAATAAAAACATAATAAAACAAAATAACACATCATCACCCACAAAAACAGGAAAACTAGCTGTCCAACCACAAAGGCTAATGCATACAGATGTGCCTGAAGCCTTTTTTAAACAGCTCCTTAGACCCAGCAAATCTAATATCTAAGAGTAAACTGTTCCATAGCATAGGAGCACAAACCACAAAACCACAATCACCCTTCTGTTTCCGCTTTGTCCTGGGGACTACTAAGAACCCTTAGCTGGAGGACCTCAGTGCCCTAGCATTCAAATATGGGACCAACACAACCAAGACATGTTTGGTGTCCAAAGTTAGTTTTGCACTGGCTAATCTAGCTAAAAGTAATGACAGATTATAGTCACCATATTACCCTGCTGAAAAAAATACAGCTTAGACCAGCTTGGCTGGTCCACACTGGTTTAATGAGCCGAAAACTGTTACAGTTACTGTCTATGTAAGATGGCATGTATCTGCTTCACCTCTCCTCTGTCTCCCAGGGTGACAACAGCAGTGTGGGCAACAAAACCCTACAGCTAGTTGAACACAGCCAAAACAAAACTTTAAAAATGTTTAGGTTTAAAATAGACACAACAGCCTAACAATCAAAAAATATTATCACTGAAGGGGAAAATAATTATTAAAGTGTGGTGAAATGGCCAGAATTTTCCATTGGTGTGCATGGAAGTCAGATTCCTGTTGTCTGGGTAAGGGGAGAATGAGTCCTCCCTCACTTCACAGATTTCTGGAAGTTTTTT